TGAATATTGTTTTAGCATATCCTGATGAAGCAAATAAATTTTGCGAAAGCTTGATTTAAGAACAAAGAGTTTAACTTATCCTGCCCTACTTAAATGACTGCATCCTAAAAATAAAACTTTATTTTACATAACGTGTCAGTCAATAATACCTAACTACTTATATATATATTTAGTTAAGATTCTATCACACTATTTAATTCTCTTACCTCAGGGTTATACTCGTGCTTCAATATATATGCTTTACATATGATAGGTAAGGTCCAAAGAATACCGGAATAATAAAAAACATATAGGTATGATACAACATTATATATTGAAATAAAAATATATTGAAATAAAATTCACACTCAAATATCTTCAATAAAAATATCTCCTGTGAACCTTCAAAAATTAATGGTACATACAAGAGAAATTAAAATTTCAAATCAAAATTGTTGTTCTAAATCTCCGGATCAAAATATTCCTATCTTTCCTAAAGCAATTGTTAAAAATGTGTTGTTAATAAAGAAAAACTGACGAATAGTAAAACTATCTCTATCTATCTATTCTTAACAGTCCCCTAGGTAATCAGCAATCTTACAACAAATTGCTGCGAGCCTATTGTCTTTAATGATCTCCTTCAAATGCACGTATCGTTCAAATGATGCTAGCCTCTTCCCTCGATAAACTGAATCTCTCGTTCTGGCCTGAACAGTGACTCTTGGAATATAAGTAGACAAATATAACTTACAATATTTTACTGAATCAGCTTCTCTCAGATACGCTTGTTCCACGAAAACTCACAAACATTCTCTTCTACTGCTTACTACCTCTGGGGAACCACCAGAGAACAACGACTGTTCGCCTTGCACCCTTGGAAAACAACTGATTATCCTTTTTCCCTCAAAAATCTAGCTAAACTCTCATTCTTACATACCTATCCCACTTTTTTCAAACTCCTCCAATCAAAGCTCGTCACACATATCCCCATCTCTTCATTTAGATAACAAACAACAATTTTACCTACAATTATAAATGTCCTAAAAACTATTAACATGCTAATCGGTTTCTACAAATTCTTAAGAACTAACGGAGAAATATATTTCCAAAATATTATATTCTATTGTCTCACTGTACAAGTCCATTTGGAAAACCCGCTCGCATTGTTCATGATTTCATTAAGCTCACTCACGTCACTCGAATATATTTTACAAATAAAATAATTTATGCATATCTTTAAAATTTTGTTTACTACAGGTAATCCAGGATAATGGACTTTCATTTCTTCGAAACATCTTTTATAGTTTATTAGTCGAATTATTTGAATTATTATATTTTGTACTTTGAAGTATATTAAACAAACCAATATTATTTTCAATTTTACATAGCATAACAAATCCCCGCCATTTGATCTGCCGAAAACTGAATCACACAAATCTTATTCACTAACTGTTTTGTGAGTTTTAAATTTTCTAAACATTTTACCAATTTCAGAAAGTTATGGAGTCTTCTAAGTACGTGAATTTTGTTTTTTTTTTTGTAATTTCTCAGTTTTACTTATCTTATCTCTTTGATATATCTTTTGTGGTGTCATTGATTGTGTTTTAATTACGTAGGAACTGGAATATCAGTTATCTCAGACTTTGTAGTTCCTCATTTTAGACGCCATTTTCTTCTTATTTAGTCATCAATAATATTACATAAAACAAGGTTCAATTTGTCTTCCTTACCCAATTCAAAATGTGTCCCTTAGATACTCACACACGGCTGGTAAATGGTATTCTAGAAAAAAAATTCAGTGATAACCCAGTCGCCGGCGCTAGTTCCACAGTGATATTCGACGCCTAAATGTTTCAGGAGAAATTTAAGACTAGTGGAGATAACACTGTATCTTTCTTCTAGAATATCAGGTATCTCAGCTTTTTGTGTAGCGTGTTTCACACCCAAAAAAAAATTCATAACATTTTACCAATTTCAGAAAGTTATGGAGTCTTCTAAGTACGTGAATTTTGTTTTTTTTTTGTAATTTCTCAGTTTTACTTTATCTTATCTGTTTGATATATCTTTTGTGATGTCATGCGTTGTATTTTAAACGCGTAGTTAAGTTGAATCTAATATATGGAAGTTAATTTATCAGGAAGTTAGCAATTTCAAAACTTTTGTCTTTTTTTATAGAGGTCCCCAAGGTATTGTGTTTCTTTGGCAAATGAAATCTCTGTTCATCCCAGCACCGGTGGTTTTAGGATTTGTAGTGGTGTTTTTTTGGGAAAGTTGACGATTTGTGTTTTCTGAGCATGACTATCAGTCTCTCTTGTTTACACCAGTCGTCAACTATATTTTGGGCTGCTTGCATTCTCTAAGACACCACCTGGGCAAACCTGCCCTTGACAACGATTGCTATATCGTCAGCATATCCTAGAAAATAAAAACCTTCCGTGGACAGATTTCTGAGGAGATCATCTACCAAGGTTGCCCAAAGTAGAGGGGGCAGAACTCCTCCTTGTGGACAGCCTTACTACTTTTGATTTTATGGTTGCTTTACCCAGAGTGGACATTACTGTCTCCAGGGATGCCCTTATCCATCTGCATATTATCGCAGGTGTGCCTCGTCTACTCATAGCTCCTATCAAATAGCTGGTAGTAACATTATTAAATGTCCTTCTATATCTAAAAAAGCGCCCATTGCTATCTGTTTGTCTTCCATTGACTTTGACTTTGTGAGCCCTGGTCTGCCTCAAAATATTCTTCGATCCTTCCTTGTCGAGGATGTCTTCTCCATCCTTCTTCTTCTTAACGTGCCCTATCAAGTGCCCTTGACGTTGGCGATTAACATGGCGAAACTGTCTCTGTCTCGAACTATTCTAAATAGTTGCTCAGCTTTCTTTATTCCTGTCCACTCCCTGATATTCTTCAACCAAGAGGCCTGCTTTCTACCAATTCCTCTGCGCCCTTCGATTTTACCCATCATAATAAGTTGAAGCATATTATATCGGTCTCCCCTTACTACGTGTCCAAAATAGGCCATCTTTCTACATTTGATGGAATTTTTAGTATACGTCTGTGCAGCCACATCTCAAAGGCCTCCAGACGATTAATGGTGGATATTTTTAATGTCCATGCTTCGACACCGTATAAGAGGACTGACCAAATGTAGCATTTAACCATGCGCTTTCGAAGTTGAAGTTGCAAGTTATCATTACAGAAGAATGACCTCATTTTTAAAAATGTCGTGCGGGCTATCTCGATTCTACATTTTATCTCTTGATCTGAATCTAGTTGTTTAGTAATATGGCAACCAAGATATTTAAAACTGGACATTCTTTGAATTATATGACCATCAACATATAATCGTGCATCTTTGGTGTGTTAAACGGCTAAACACCATGTGTTTTGTTTTTGAACAGTTTATGTTTAGGCCAAACTCTCTTCCCACTTTATCAATGGCATTTAAAAGGCATTGTAATCCATTCATGTCATCACTTAAAATAACTGTATCGTCTGCATTCTTCTCCATCCCCTTACTTCAATCTCCCTTTAATCGTTCTGTACATAATAAGAATATTAAAATAAAAAATGACGGTTTCAAATCACCACGTAGCGGTATAGTAAAACGTGGTACCAATTGTGGATTTGATTAATACTTAATGAATAGGTACTGCTTATATAAATAGTTTGGGAGGCTCTGTAACTGTTTTAGAACGGATACATTTAGTTTTTTTTCTTAAAGCAGGATATATTTACAATATTGTTAACTTTGGAAAATCATCTAAAAAATACCCAATAGAATTGAGTGATCCGTTCTAAAAAATATATTGATTTTTTATAGATATTTCACAGCAAAAGTGGTTTTATTTAAAATAAAAATGTGCTTAGTATATTATATTATTATGAAAATTTAAAAAACAATTAAAATATGTGATAAAATATATGTGGATAAAAAATGGCGAGTGCTATTAAATCATTATTGAATATAATCTAGAACTGCCCTCTATACAAAACAGTACGAACTTGTTGCATACTTTAAACAATTGGATAGGTTTCTATACTGTCGACTAGAAAAGTGTTTTTGTATTTAAAATTGGATCTTAAAATGAGTCATATTTAATATCTTAAATATTCATTTCAATTTTTAAGTAGAATATATCGACAATAATAAAGGAGAAAAATATACAATAATAAGACTGTTCAGAATACATGTCGTCTGTCAATCAGATGTTCCATGTTCAATCTCAAATGAGTCAAATGCCTCGTTTGACTTGACATTAGAAAATAAAAGTGGTGTACTCATAGTAGGTGTACTTGGACCATCGAGCAATAAGACAAAAGAGGGAATCTAATCGTTATAAAAAGGAGACCAAAAAAGTGGCCTCTGATGGCGGACACATCCGGAAATGCAAAGGCGCCAAATTTAAATATTTCGACACTTATCAACAGTAGCTATATAATATTTTTCAAAATGTGTCTTAGACGAGAAAGTTTTAATTAATTATTAATGATAAGAGTCTAAAATGCGACACAATTGTTAAAAAACTTCAATATAAATAAGATTTCATGTGACATTTGGGACAAACAATAACATAACCCAACTAAATTTGATGTCAAACAAGGAGAGAGACTGTCTATCCTTGTCTAAAGTGGCCTCTCAAGATGGCACTTCCTGTCTATCAATATGTTTACCCCTTCTACCTTTACATTCCCTCTTTTGTCTTATTGCTCGATGACTTGGACGTACTGTTACGTCAATAAACTTATGTGTTTGTTATTTAAAAACTCCATAATCCCTTAACAGTTCACACAAAACAGCAGCCCTATGATTAGGTAAGCCCTTTAATTAACTATTACCGTTCTTAACGGGCGTAGAAAAGTTAATTTCGGGCTAAGTAAGTGCCCTACCCCATGTATTAATCATTCTTCTTATCGTCTATTTATTACGACTTAACCATTTTATAATGCGGTCTCTCTAAAAAAGAGAAAAACTTACGCACCTGCACAGAGTGCAACTTGAAGCATCACTATATACACCACAACCGGGCCATTCTTATCAGATGAAGCAAAGTGTAGGCAGAAGTGCATGGACGAGCTTATTTAAAGTAATAACTCTATTTGAAGCAATAATTGAATAAGAGATGCATTATTGAAAGTAATTTGAATGTTAGGCAAGGTTTAGTCAATACCTTACAAAACTACTGTTACAAATTTTGCAATGAATCTGTCAAGCATCTTTTGCATTAACATTAAACCACTAGAATACTTACCAAATCTGATAATGCATTGTTTGTATGGGATATTTATACTCGTCCAGAACTTTAGAATTAATATATTTGAGAGGTTTTGTTAATATTTGTACTATTTAGTCTATATATTATTATTTGCCTTTGTTATAAATAGTTGTATCTTGCATTTAATTATATTCCTAGTCACTTTTTAGTACTAGAAATGAAAAGAAAGCCTTATTAAAACCTATTATACTTTAATTGTAATAATAATGTTAACATTTACTTAATATGGGACTAATAAAAAATCCTGTACGTTATATTTGACAGAACTGGCATTTTAATGTTCTGTTATATCATGAAAACACCTCAGTATCTTAGCATTTTTAGATGTTTTAATTTTCAGTGGGTTGTTTAATTTTTCCTTTTCTTTTGAACATGTGCTTTTGATCTTATAGGCATCTCATATCTGTCAATTTTCTCATATAACCAGTATACACAACATACTAGTTGTTGACCACTTAGTACAATCTGATAGGCCTAAGAAGATGTAGTTATAATTGTTTATATACTTATAATCTTTATATCATTTGTGTAAAAACAATATTTTATTTTTCGTGTAAAAACAAACTTTTACATTTCAGTTAACCTATTCTTAAAATGAATAAAGATGATTATGATCTGCTACAATTTAAGTTTAAAAGGGAACCTGTAAATAATGCTGCCCTAGATCTATTACAAGGACTTGAAAATCGTAGTTTAGGATCTGTTAAGAAAAATGTCAAATCCAAAGAAGGCATTGAACTCTTTGCAGAGGAGGAGTTTGTTAGGAAGCAGGAATTCAGTGAAATGGTAAGTTATTGTATGTGTTCATAGTGTAAATGTCCTCCAATTATATTTAAAAATTTAAATGGGAATAGAAGTGATATGACAGTGGTTTAAATTTGAAGTATTGGTAAAATAAGTAGAAGAATATTAAAAAAATTAGTTATTACAGGCATCTACCCAATCAGTACTTCATACTCGCAGTATCTAGTGCTCAAAAAATTCAAAACTATTGTTAAAATACAGGAAGAATGTAGCTTATTCAAATCGTCTATTTTTGTATTGATGTCATAACAAGTAATGGAATCTTGACTATTATCAATAATCTATACTGAAATCTATAGTAATCCCCTATCTATTAACAAAAAGTAATTTGTTTTATCTGTCTACATTTATCTCTGATGCAATCATAGACATATAAATAAAGCACTTTATTTATACATCCATGGATGCAATAAACGAATTATTTAGTCAAGGAATATTTCCAAAGTAATACAAAAAGGCTTATATCCTAGGCAATCTTCCCAGCAATATGATTTTTGTATTACTTACCTTGATTTTTGATAATTTTTAATCTACCTAATCTTTTTACTGTTTGCTATACTAGATATGATACTTTTCCAAGTTTTTTTTATCCTTTTTAATAAGTAATTTTGCACATGATCATCGAAATATTATGAAATTTTGACTATGACAATGATTTGTTGTAAACTAGCTTCCTTAAAGACTTTTCTTTTACAATTGTTTCCGAAACCATGTTCTTTTTCCATGTTTCTACTAAATATTTTATATATTGGAATAAATTCTGGTTTTAATGTAAATTTCATACACATTTATCTTAATATTTTACTTAGTAATCAGGTATTTTAAGAATGCAGTTCTTTGATCTTTTTTATTCATTGTTAGGTTTAGTTTTAGATTAAATACAACTCTGTGAATTACTGATTTTAAATGTAACATTATATTTATTTCCAATCCTTTGAAATTTTCTGATGTCTTTTATGTATGATATTGTTGTTGGTGTTAAATCCCTTCTTGTAAGTGTTTAATTTTTTTTTCAGTTATGTTGTTTTTATCTTTTGAAATACCTTGTTTGTAAGTGACAGTGGATATTTATTTTTTATTAGAATAAATTTCAACAAGTTGTTTTTGTCCAAAAATGCATTTTTACTGGATCAAATATTTTGTGCCATGCTATAATGATTTGATGATCCCTTTTTAATATCCATGTTATGATTTGAATGGTAATCTAAATATCTGTTGATTTGTGTTAGTTTTCTGTACACTTTGGTTATATACTATGTGTCTTACTTTGAGATTAACACTCCCACAACTAGTAGTTATTGTTTTAGTTACATTTTCCACACTTAAATTGATCAGTTCTTCTTTTCAGTTGAAATTGATTCAATAGTTTGTCTAATCATTCTAGTTCAAGATACATATGAAAGAAATCATCTATTATAACACCACCATATTATGGGTTTTAGATTGTGTTTGTCTACATTAAGTATTTGTTTGTAACTCTTCCAGAAATACATATATCTGCATATAAAGATAAACATAGCTAGAAGTTTTTTTGGTAGTAATCATTGTTTAACTTAAAGCAGCTTTATTATAGCCGGTACATTCAGTTTTTGTGTGGTTGTCAATGTACTGTCCTTTTCTAGTTTGGTTTTTATTAATTTTAAAGCTTTGTCCACAGGCTTACTTATAAATAAGTTAGTTATGCCAAAATTGACTGAAATGTTGGTATTGAAATCAATTGCTGATAATTTTAGCAGAAAGTGTTGTTTACCAATGTCTAAACAGTTTGCTATAAGCAGAACTTTATGTATTTTCAGTATAGTGTTAATGTTTTCCTTTGGTAGTGATAGTGTGTACTTTTTTTAAGTTCGGAATCAGGAAATAACCTCAAGTAGCAAAATCTAGCAAAAACAGCAGGTAGTTAATTAATTTGTACCTCAACTAATGTAATTTTGCATATACAAGTGCTATTTTATAGAAGAAAATATTTTGTGGAACAAAAAGAGGCAAAAAACGGTCCAATAGGGCTGCATAGTACATGCTACTGACTATTGTTCAATTTTTCAAGCAATTCAAATAGCATCTTTTAGGTGTCAAGAAAAGGCATTCCTGTGTTTCTGGAATATTTAAATGTTTCATCAACAGTCACATATTGGTGAAAAAATCTCAAATGGCATGGTGTCATTATTCACAGATTATCAGAATCCAAAATGTATCTGGTTTTGGTCAATAGTGAGCAAGCATAACAATTGTTGAGTGTCTATCTGAATATTTATGTATGATGTTAGGTACACAATAATTTGACATATTTATAATCCCTGCTATATCCAAATTCATATATTTATCTTTCCTTTTCTAATATACTATACCTTCGCATTGTACCAATAAAGAAATAATAAAAAAGCTATCTTTTTGAAGAGGGTTCTGAAGAGCTCTTTACAGATTGAGTAATTAGGGTGTCAATCGATCTTTAGTAATGTCTTAAAAGTATACACCTAATTTTCAGCGAGCAAATTGATACTGGGAGGTTATTTATTAAACCTTCACATAATATCTCCAATGAAAATTTAATGAAGTAAAATGGATCGATATGTTACAGAATAATAAAAGAGTATAAAATCTAGTGGGGATAAAATTTTTGAGTATTCAAATTATTTGTACTTAAAAATGGGCTTTTCTAAATATTTATTCTCCTAACAAAGGTGACCAATGTCGTCCAGTGTCAATCCAATATAAATCCCTTTTGCTGACATCTCCTTCCTAAGCATCTTCCCTTAGGTTTTCTTTTTTTTTTGTTTCCTATTTTTACGCCCCCTCAAATCAGCAATTTATTATACTATTGGATTAATATTTCACAATTATGACCCCACAATTCTTTTGTAGCCTTCTTAACACTTCTGCATTTGCCTTGCACAAAATCAAATTGATTATCGAATATTTAAAGTTTCTTCACGTATCCATCTATCAATTACTTTCTCCCACATGTTCATCGTGTGATTAGATAGTTTTAATTATCATGATCTTTACTGTTTGATAAACAATTTTTAGCGCTGTGAGATGCCTGGTATACCCAGATCCACTTTCCTGATGGTGTTCAGTCCTGATGGTACCAAAGTAGCTTCGACGCACGGCAACCACAACATCTATATAACCGATCTTAGGAACGGCAGGAATATAAAAACTCTGGTCGGCCATCCGAGGACTCCATGGTGTATCGCCTTCCATCCGACATCCGAACAAATCGTTGCTTCGGGCTGTCTAGGCGGGCAAGTCAGGATATGGGATTTGAGTGTAAGTTTAACACATTCGTTTGCTATTTATTTGTTAGAATTTTATATTTTGTTTTAAAAGATATATCAGAAAGTTACTATATAAAAAAAATAATCGGTGCGCCCGTCAAGTACATAGCAAGAAGACAATGACGTGAGAGTCGTTCATAAATATACTTTGAAGATCTAATGTCTTGGCTCTTTGAACGTCTATCATAATTTATTTTTAGTTTATAAATTATTTACACGATTATTTGTACTTCTGACATCAATGCGACAATGAATTAAATATTTATTTACAACATTATTTGTTTTTTATAAACTTTATTTATATATATAGGTTATTGAAGTTCTTGAACTCTTGAAATTGAATTTATATATAAGGCTGAAGTGGAGCGTAGAGCTTCACTGAAATCGCGCCATCGAGTTCTATTGTGCGCTAAGACCTTCACCTCATTCCAAGACTTTCCTTGACCTCTTATCTCGTCCATGATGGATCTTCTCCAAGTTTGTACTGGGCGATCTCTTTTTCTTCTTCCTTGGGGATTCCACTCTAGGGCAATCTTTGCAATACTGAGAACATACTCTACTTCTTCTTTTTCTTCTCGTAGCACTACCACCCAGGGTGGGTCTTGGCTGACTGCACAACTTGCTTCCATCTTGAACGGTCGTCCATAATAGGTGGGTCGTGTTCTTAGATCTGACCATATATTGTCTCTCCATCGCATTCTTGGACGTCCTAATGGCCTTCTTCCTGTGGGGGCTTCCTCTCATATTAACTTGGCAAGGCGGTTATTACGGAGTCTATGGCCATGGTCAGCGCATGATTTAATCTCTTGGACTATGTCGCTCGCTCTATACATCTGCTTGACCTCACCATTTGTTCTCATTTGGTATTGGTTGCTATTAATGTCGTGATAAGGCCCAAAGATTCTTCTGATGATTTTCTTCTCGAAACATCCAGTTTTCTTTCAGTTTCTTTGGTCAGGGTCCACGTCTCTCTTTATATATTCTAATCTTTGATGTTCGTGTTAGGTTTTTAGATTTAATAGTATTGTGGAGGCTGTACATACATCTGTTTGCTGCCTGAATTCTTCCTTTAATCTCTCCGCAATATAGTTATCTGCAGTGATTGTTGCTCCGAGATATTTACTCTGTACTCTTTCAAAGTTATATGTGTCTATTGTAACATTTTGCTCTATTTTATCTCGTCCCTTTTGTCTGTTGATGCACATGTAATTGCTTTTCTCTTCGTTTACCCTTAAACCAGTTTTCTTTGCCTCTACCTCCAATTTATTAAAAGTCTCCTTTACATGGTGACTGTGTTTCCCACAATGTCAATGTCATCTGCGTGTGCTAGTAGTAATTTTGGTCCATTTACTGTCAGTAATTCTGTTTTAAGTTGTGCTGCTCTTACTACTTTCTCCAGGATGATATTAAAAAGGAGAAGTGACAGCGCATCTACTTGTTTCAGGCCACTGCTTATTTCGAAAGATTCTGAGAGTTTGCTACTTATCCGTACTCTGGATCTACAGCTATTCACACATAAGAACAAGCTGGATAAATTTTTTTGGAATTGAAAGTTCCGCCATTGCATTCCACATCTGATCCTTTTAAGATGTCGTAAGCTGCCGGAAATCTGTGAAGATTATGGATAGTTCTATTGAATTCCCATCCTTTTTCAAGCAGCTGTCTTAGAGTAAAGATCTGATCTATGGTCGATCGATGTTTTCTGAAGCCGGCTTGGTATTCCCCCATGAAATTTTCTACAAACGGTGTCAACCTTCCTAATAGGATATTCGATAAGATTTTATATGCCGTATTAAGTAGGGAGATGCCTCTATAATTAGAGCAGTACACTATCAAAGATCATAGTTTTCTTTGAGCAGCGAACGATTGTAGACAAATCTGTAAGTTGCTGAGAGAGCGTTTAATTTTGATCTGTTTTTAGGGAGGCAGTGAAGTATGGACAGCTATCAACCACACTGTCATAGCCTCTTTAGCGTTTCATCCAAACGACAGAGTGTTAGCTATAGCCACCGGCAATTGCGTACATTTCTGGGATTGGAGTAAACCGGATCCGTTTGCCACTCGTTCAACGTACACTCTAAAAGAAAAGGTAAATGCTCCCGATTCCTCGTCTACTTACGTATTCATATGTTTATTTAATTTTATTTGCAGGTTCGTTATGTAGCGTTTGATAGCTTAGGTCACAAGTTGATAACAGGTATAGCGAATGGTCCGTTGACAAGGTGGGAAATGGTCAGAGCGCCGGTACCGGTACCGCGACAAGATTGGAACGCCAGCCCTTACAGACGACGAATAACCCAACGACTTGCTGACCGGTTCGCTAACCAAAATCAAGTAAGTAACAATCTCACTTGATTTTCTCATAGATTTATTCCAGAAAACGTCTTATTTATATACATAATTACAAAAAATGTGTCTTTGATATTAAACGTTGTCGTGTTTACCTTTAATCACTGTCATAAATCATTTTTAGCCTTCCAGCTCCGATGCTAACACAACTACTAATCCCAGAGACTCTCTAAGCTATCCAGAGAGAGAAAGAAGAATCTCGATGTGCTACCGAACCCTAGTAAAAGAATATGAACAATTAGTTCATAGGTATCTCCAACTCTATAGATCTCCCACAATGGTAAGTTAAAAATTCCCCATATAGAACCTAAAACAATTAAACTCATAATAAAATGTATTTAAGGGAACAGTCTCATGCGATTAAAAAAAAGACGCATTTTAAAATTAAAGCAGAAAAAAAACTATAATATTTATTAACATAATTCTTTTTGGAGATGATTAAGTAAGTCTTAAAGTACATAATAAAAATTTTCAATAGCGATTTTAACTTCATTTGTGTCCTGTAGATGGCGTGTAGTAAAAAGTGCGTTTTTGGTGGTAAGACACTTTGTGGGTCACCTGTAACAGATATTCAAAAAATTCAAAATGGGTTGTATTCGTGAGACTCAAAACTAGATGATAAACCTTTAAAATATGCAAATTGTATTATTTTGAAGAGTTTATACGAATTTTTTCAAAAAAGTTGAAAAATCAGTATATTTTTCGGTGGATTTACCCATATATAATAAAAGAGAGGGTGGTTTTTAAATATTTTAAAGGTTTATCATCTAGTACTTTCTATATACATTCGAAAAATTTTTGGTTTTTTAAAATCGGTTAAGAAGGTTCGGAGAAAAGTGTCTGACCAGTTTGAAAATGTTACCTTTGAGAAAAAAGCATTTTAAGTTTTTTTTTACATAATTTTCGTGAATAAAAGGCTGATAACTTTATACTCACGTTTAATCGGCCATTCCTGGTGAATATTGAGGACCGTCTTCATCCAACAATTGTTGTAAATGGCTTTGTAAAGCTGTAAATTTCAATACAACGTCGCGATTTTTTATAATTAATTCATTTGTTTGACTGGAGTCTCACTCTCAATTCACTCCGCGATGCTGCCAGTGTAAGTGTAAAAACGGAACACACCTAGATCGCATGTCAATTCAACGAAAACGTACTTATTTATAAATGTAGATATGAAAATATTTTATAACTAAAAAAATGGTTGTTTTATTGCCAAAACGGCTTGAAAAAAAGTTGATTTCTAAAATTAAAAATAAAATAATTATATTACACTCTTTTTAATTTGAAATTATAAACAATATTTAGATTAATAAATGTATTTAAGTATAAATTTTATAACTCAAATAATACCTAATGAACACAAACAAAATTAATGTTAATAAAACATTATTTATTATCTGCACAAAACCGGACTTTCAGGAAAAATCGGTAGACGGAGCAACACTGTCGGCGTACCATATACGCTACTATAAGCCGCTGAGGAGAAGTGGAACTATAAATCCAGTGGAACAAATAAATTAGGTATAAAACATCGCGACGTTATAAAGAAACACTGGTTAATTGCAACGCAGAGAATCTTAGTATTTGTAAAAAATCCTATGTCCCGGATTTAAAATTCCAAATGTGTATAGTAACTGCCAAACGTTATACTGATATACATACTATATAAAAATGAATCACTAATACATACCCAACGTATATACAACATATATACAAAAGCAAGAACAGCTGGAGCCTCGCGCTCGCCGCGCGGAGAGACACCGGTTTTCATACGTGCGTAGATGACGTTAATAAAATAACTATAACTTATATTCTAGTGGGAATTTCTTTTTAAAATTTTAGTAGGGGAGTTTTTGAATGTAAATGGAAGCGATTTATATAAAAAAAAATTAAAATTGATTTTTTGAAAGTTCCGCATGAGACTGTCCCCTTAATTATTTCAAAAGTCAGTTTATTGGTTAAGTTTATATTATCGGATGTTAACAGAATACAAATATAACCAATAATATAATACTGATGTAGGGGATGTAAGTTAAATCTTATTAGAATTTCACGTAGAGTAATAATACACAAACAAATCTCTTACAAACAGACTAAACTGTATTGAAGAAAAGAGGCTCATGTAAAATATTTTCTAAACGATAAATTTAAAACTAGCGTCCTTAACGTTACGTGATTGTGATGAGACTCTTAGTGGTCGACCTTCTTCTGTCCGCGACTACCTGCAGCCCCTCTCGATGGGTGTAAGATAAAGGTCGTGTAAATCTTAACTGAAAATATATCATACGGGGTTGCTCGAAATTTTTAACAACTGACCCGCGTTGACAGTTGTGAAAAACTACTCTATTTTCGATTTTATACCTTTTATATAGGTACTCGTATATAGTCTGCTCCAACCGCCGATAAAACAGTGGAAGAAATTGAAAAAATTTACGATGACCTTCAAAAAACCCTACAAAATAGAACATCTAGAGATATAACAGTAGTCATGGGTGATTTTAACGCCAAAGTTGGAGAAGAAAGATGTGAGTCTTCTGTAGCACCATATTATGGACTCGGTGTTTGAAATGGGAGAGGAGAAAAACCATAGTTTTTGGTGAAAGTTATTGAATTCATTTAGTAAATTATCCATTTTATCCTCTGGTGCTGGATAATTTACTAAATGAATTCAATAACTTTCACCAAAAACTAAAATTCACATTAGAAATTGAAAAAATTATCAAATTAATTTTCTGGACCTGACCTTGCATAGAGAAAACAGCACTATAACTACTTCATGGTACACCAAAAAAACCTGGTCGTCGAGATATCTGAATTTCAACTCTCATCATCCCTGTCTCAAAAGAAATCAGTAGTTATCGGTCTCGCTGATACAGCTATTAGATTATCCGATCCTATCAATAGACCTCAGGCTATTAAAAAGGCAAAAACAGCACTAACACTTAATTCATACCCACACCACCTTATCGACAACACTTTCAAATCGCGACTGCATAAATTTTACATGAAACCAACACGGTAAAGAAAAACTATATGTCTCTCCCCTATATAAAAGGATTATCAGAACAAATTGCAAATCTTCTGTCTAAACATAATATTACGGTTGCTCATAAAGGTCACAATCTTTTGAAAAGGAATTTTACAAGATTGAAAACAAAAACTCCTCTATTAAAAAGATCGCATGTTGTATATGAAATTCCCTGCTCGAATTGTGATGGAGTTTATATTGGACAAACCAGTCAGGTACTTAATTCAAGAATACGTTCCCACAAATATGACAAAAAAAACTCAACCGCCCTCACAAAACATGAAAACGAAAAAAAACATAAATTTGATTTTGAGAAAACCAAGATTCTAAAAAGTGAATCCAATAGGAAAAAGAGAGAGCTTCTAGAGTCTATACAAATAAAAAAAAAATAATAACGCAATAAATGATAAAAAAGATGTCAAAAATTTGAACAAAATATATTTTAACTTAACACATAAAAAGTCAATCTCAGAACGCCTATGATGTTAAAATAACTGATTGTTTAAACGATAAACTAACATCAATAAATAACACATTAGATTTAAAATACATTTTACTTATAGTGACTTAGTGGGTATGTCCTATGTTTTAATATTATTTTAATTGTGACGTCTAATGGTTAATACCTAATATTTACATGCTTGGTAAGTCAAAAGTTTATTTTTTAAACCGTATTATGTCTATCATAAAATGTTTTTTTTTAGTCAATATATATTCTTGAAAAAGGCATGGATTTCCTGCCGAAACGTCGGAAAAAATATATAAAAATGTCTTAGTATCAAACTAAAAATTTTTTTATGAACCTAAGCCCAAGAGAATCCACTAAAAAATATATATTAAGGTTCAAGAACTAAATTCAGCTATATATATTGTTATGATATTTATGTAAAATCGAGAAAAATATTGGTGTGTTTAAAATATTTCAAAGTTAAAAAAAAAACATTAAAATAATTCAGAAAATATAACCAACAAACATTTCGAAGAAGGAAAGGTTTTTTTAAATTTTTGGATTACCTGTATTAAACAAAATGTAAGCTATGCATAAATTATTTCTTTTGTTATACTATACTTGAGTGACCCGCATAATTTTAAGTGAAATCCAAAGAACAATTGAACCGGGTTTTCCAAATACATTAACGCAGCGATTAAAGACAATAGAAGAGGTTTTAGAAAGAGGTTTTTGTTAGTTTTTAAGAATTGTAGAAAAATATTATTTGTAAATAAGTTTTAGGAAATTTTACAATTATAGGTAAAAAGTTGTTTGTTATCGAAATGAAAAAATGGGGAATTGTGACGAGTTTTGATTGGCAGAGATTGAAAAAGGTGGGATAGGTATGTAGGAATGAAAGTTTAGCTAGATTTAGGAGAGAGAAAAGATAATCAGTTGGTTTCCAAGGGTGCAAGGCGAACGGCCGTTGTTCTCGGGTAGTTTCCCAGAGGTAGGAAGCAGTAGCAGTGAAAGTTTGTGAGTTTTCGTGTAGTTAGTGTATCTGACAGAAGCTGATCCAGTAAAATATTGTAAGTCATATTTTTCTACTTATATTCCAAGAGTCACTGTTCAGGCCAACGAGAGATTCAGTTTATCGTAAAGAAAAGATATTCCAAGAGTCATTTTTCACTCAGGCCAACGAGAGATTCAGTTTATTGAGAGAAGAAGAAGCTAGCATAATTTGAACGATTCGTGCATTTGAAGGAGATCATTAAGGACGAGATACTTGCAATAATTTATTGTAAGATTGCTGATTACTTAGGGAGCGGCCACGAGTAAATAGTATAGTCTACAAATAACAAGGATTTGGACCACTCATCATCAGAGAAAGATAGTTTTGTTTTCTGCAGTTTTTCTTTCATTGATAACACAATTTTTACACTTAATTTAGAAAGGATATAAATATTTTGATTAGGAGATTTAGAGTAATACTTGGATTTTGAGATTTCAACTAATATTGTTTGTACCATTAATTTTGAAGGTTTCACGTACGTAGAACAAAATTTTGAGAATCATTATATGAGATTTTGTTTATTGAAAACTTTTGAGTGTGAATTATTTCATTATTTTTATTTCAATATATAGTGTTAGATCATATGTTTTTATTTTTATTATTCCGGTATTCTTTGGACCTTACCTTTCACATGTAATAGCATAGATATTGAAGCACGAATAAAACCCTGAGATAAGAGAATTAAAAATTGTGATAGAATCATAATCATATCATTTAAATAATTTAATTAATTAATTAATTAATTAATTAGCTAATTATTGCTTGGCGCACCAAGACTTTAAATATCACAATAATATATATATATATATATATATTATATATATATATATATATATATATATATATATATATTGGATTATTGTAACAGCCGTACTCTACTAATGTCAGTTCAGGTTCAATTAATGTTATTTTAGTTCTAGAGTTATAAGTTATAATATTTATTATTTATATCTTTATAAAAAACTTCTGTTTAATAATTAAGAGTGAATTACCGTAATACACTACTGGGCTAATTGTACCGTCGATTTTTTACAGATTGATAGAGGTACAGACCCAATGGAGCCGGATTTGTGGTTTAACAACAGCGGTACCCAAACGTCCGAATCGCAAGCCAGCACCAGCGACACGTCACAGCCAAGTACTAGCGGTACTGCACAAAATCGTCCAAGATCTGGCGTTTTAGAACCTACAGCCAGTGGTAGCTCCAGACCTAGCACCAGTAGTGCTACCGCTGGTCCAATTGGACGAAGCAGTAGTGGAACCTCTGGATATAGCAGTGATGGTAGTCCTAGAGCTGGTAGTAGTGGCGCCTCCAGGGTTATTACGGTTGAACCTAGTAGTGGTAGTGGTACTCAGGGACCTAGCACCAGTGGTACCGTTCAAAACGAATCGACGAAAACACCAGCCGAGAGAGTTTTGGACGAAACTTTGCCCGGTAGTTCCGGTAGCACAAGAAACGTCGATTCATCGACTGGTAAGTAAAGTAGTTTTAGCATTATCGGCTTATTTGTCACTTCCGTTTCAGAACCTTCTCCTAGCACTTCTCAGAAATCGGCTCACAATCTTCTAACTCCGAGCAGAATGTTTTCGGTGATAAAAAAACCGAGCACGCTAATCAGAGGTACTCAAACGTCGGAATCGCGGAAGCACAAAGCGGAAGATGCGAGCGAGCCGAAGGAGAAACGCCTAAAAAAGAGCAACGGAGCCAAAAGTAAATCTTCGAAGAAGAGTAACAAAGACGGAAAGACTAATTCGGCGCAGACGCAAACGTCGACTGTTAGGAAGGAATTTCCTATTAATAATGACAAAAGTGGCGCTATTATATCTGATGATAGAGTTTCGACTGGGAGTTTGTCGGAGTTTAGGATGAGGAGTCGAACGGAAGACAGTAGGGGTAAGTTATATGTTATTTATTCGTATATTAATAAGTATTGCACTTTTAATTACTTAAGTCCTTCTTTGTCTCACTTTATGATATATCTGGAATTACTACTGTTGTAACGATTATTTTGTCTATCACATAAGGGGTTGAAAGTTGGGTACAGAAATTATTAGGGTGGAGATAGGGCAAGCAAAACTAACCGAAACGTTGCGAAGAGCCACTCAGGGTTTATTTGGAGAACTGGGTCGTGAATAAGTGAAAGACGAGGGTACTGAAACGGGGTAACTACCAAAAATGAAACAAACGGTTACTTACATGAGTCTCGTGGACAACCAAAACACAAGAAGGTTCTCAAGCTATTTAAAATAAGGACGCCGCTTTGAAAAATCTTCCTTCTGGATGAAAGAAAACTTGTGTTTTCGTTCATCAACACAATATTAACAATAACAATTGGTAATAGGCGACAATTTGTAGCAGAAATTAATTATTAAAAATAAAAAAATATCTTTTTAAGTGAAACTATGCATATATGTTAACCTTTTTTTAAACAAAACAAAAACAAAGATCTCAATTTATGATTGGGTATTTATCAACTGTCAAAAAAATAGTACTAACTGTAATATATCAATACTAAATCTCAAAACTTTGGGAATAATTAATATGACAGCTGAGGCACACTCTATTATCTACAATTTTAATTATTACAATTTCTTAAACTGTTATGAAAGCAATTATTAGAAAAAGTTTATTTTTCCTTTAAAAATCAACACAAAAGGGTTACCTGGATTTCACTAAAATTTCTGGGGTTAGGAACTGTACTTACACTCTCTGTCACACGAACAAATTCATCTCCAAACTGCGAAAAATATGCTGAAACGGCTTCTTAGGACAAACAAATTGAGACTGGACGTAAACTTTAAAAATCTGCTTCTTTAAAAAACTGGAACACATGTGGGTACCTTTCAAATTTGTTGGAAACGCCGCAAATCTCTTGGATACAAATCTCTTAATTGAGAGACGACATAAAACAAAAACAGTGATTACTTCTATCAGAACTGACAGATTACATTCAGTATAAATCACTTTTTTTAACAAATTTGCCGGTTTTTTCCGACTAAACACCTGCGCCTGTTCTTAATGACGTCTCTTCCAAACCTAAAACTTAAATTCACTTCCTCAGTCTGTGTACACGGCTTCTACCGTTTTCTTATCCCCCTACAAATGGAAGGGACTAGCGAATCGGAATTCTTTTCAAACACGCTTCACATCGCATCGAAAATGACCTTGAATTATTGCTTACTCTTGAAATTGTAGAACTAAGACGTAATATATGAATTATTTTATTACACAGTTCTGTTGAATGCGTCTCTAACACGTTTTTGTAAACAACTTTTAAAAGAAATTTTATACCTAACCAGGAGTGTACCAGATAAATTTTATACTGTGAATATTCGATATTATTAGGAATTTTATACATACTACACTGTAGTTACTAATAATCGGACGGACGGACTAGTAAAAAACTAACGAAATTTGTTTTGAATTCTTATTTCCATCCGATTTATATATTTTTTTTCTATAAACTCTATATATTAGAAGCAGGTCCGAGCGGTTTGAATCGACAAGAGAGCACCGAAACTGAAGAGGAAATCAATTTAGAACCGAATCCCTCCACATCGACCAGAGAATCAGGTAGAGATGCGAATAGGACGGTCACAGACGAGTTATTGTCTAACATCAAAAGAAACGCCGAAGCTGAGGTTAGAAATAGGATATTACCGATAATTAGGTCGCTACCAGCTCCAGACCGACCAGAATTAATTAGGTAAGACAATTGAAATAATTAGACAATACTGTGTTCATTTTTAAGATAAGCTTAAGATCCGTTATATAGGGTTCATATTTTAATTAAAGCCAAAATTAAGTTTAAACCTTATAAACTTAAAAAGGGGATAATTCTGGGAGTTAGCTGTATACCATATAGTTAAAAAAACTCTAACATCGAAGTAAAACACTTCTGTTGTAGTAGTATCTTCTTCTTCGCGTGCCATATCAGAATTATTCGAAGTAGGCGATCACCAGTGCGAAGGCTTCTCGATCTTCTGCAATATGGAATAATTGTCCCGCATTTGATATCCGAGTCAATTCACGAATGTTCTTCAACCAAGAAACCCGTTTCCTTCCTACATCTCTACAGCCCTCTATTTTGGCATTAAGGATCAGTTGTAATATTTTATATCGACTTCCTCTTACATAAATGTCCCAGATAAGACATTTTTCGATGTTGTAACATTCTTTAGCAGTTCTCTATCTTTGTTGACGCTCCTTAGTACTTCTTCATTAGTTTTCCTTACTGTCCAAGGTATCTTCAGAATTCGTCTATGAACACACATTTCCAATGGTTTAATTTTGTTCATGATCGATACTTTTAGCGTCCACACTTCTGCACTATACAAAAGTACCGACCAAACATAGCTCTTAACCATTCTTTGCCTTAATTCTTCTTCGCATTTGCATCTAATTCTGTTGTGAAGTATTCTTAGGAAAATTTTAAGAGTGTGGCTCATTAGGCTAATTAATCGATATTCTGAGCATTTTTTCGCATCGTGTTTTTAGGTATTGCGACAAAGATGGATTTGAGCCAATCTGTGGGAATCACTCAGGTGTTATATATTGAATTAAAAAGTCTTACTACTACTTTTATGTTATCATTCTCTATTAGTTTCAGCAATTCAGTTGGTATATCATCTGGACCACAAGCTTTTCTAATTTTAGCATGATTTATAGCGTGTTCTTTCGTGCTCATTTACAATAATTTTGTTATTATTGTCAACAATAGTACAGAGAAAACTCGTTTTTTTTTAAATATGTTACTCATTTTCTTAGTTTTTCGTACACATTAAATAAATCTCGTTTAGATATTACATTCTCCATTTCGTCGTATTTTTCTCTCATCCCTTTTTCTTTGGCTAATTTGATCTCTTTTTTTATTCTTCTCTGCAGATGTCTATATTCTGTTTCATTAGATTTTATCAGTCGACGTTGTTCCATTAATTTCAAGGTGTCGTCTGTCATCCATTTATTTTTCTTTATTAAGTTTTTTCTATAAGCATTGTTTGTGGAGATTTCGTTAACTTGGTTTTTAAATTCACTACATAGTTCTTCTGGATCTTCTAGTTGTTCTCCGATGTTTTTTAGTCTATTGTTAAATTCTTTTTTAATTTTATGTTTTATGTTTATATCGTTTAAGTTAAATACATTGATTTTTGGTTTTTATCGCTGAATTCGTTTTAACTTTAGTTTAATATCAGCTACAAGAGGTTGATGATCAGATCCAATATCTGCCCCAGGAAATATAGTGACTCCTTTGACGTCATTTCGGAAACGCTCATTTACAACTATATAGTTTATTTGATTTCTTGAGGACTCAGGGTTATTGCCATCAACAAATGGGGCTTTCCAAGTGTATAGTTGTTGCTTGGGTAGTTTATACCAGTTGCTTGAAATGATCATGTCGTTTTCTTTACAAAATTCATACAATCTCTGACCTCGTCGACCGTGTCGACATAAATATGTTTCTCCTTTCCTGTCGAATCTTTGCCTCCGCTTTCCATGATTAGTAACGGTTTTTAATCATAAAAACTATTGAGTAAAAACCTGAATTATTTTTTAAAATACTTTAATATAATATTTGAATTTATTTGTCTACTTTTCTTCTTTACTGATCCTTTCAAAAAAGGATATTTTACGATTTTGCGGTACTTCACATAAATATAGTTATTAAATTCATAGTAACTGTATTTCAGGTTATTCGAAAACAACCGAGAGCATGTCAAGAAGAGGTTCAAACAGATGTATCCACAATTTTTACGAAAAACAGGTCGGCGTCATTTTACCTGTTTCGGTAGCACATCTGAAAGTAGTAGCTCAGAAGAGGAAACGAACAACAATCAAAATCATCGTCTTTCTTAGTAAGTAATTACATTCTTAGCACATTTCACTGTTTCTCTTGCATCAAACTTATCGTTTTTCAGTTCTCAAAGACTGCCGTCTACAGACTCTACTGCTGCCACGAACTCCAATTCTAACTCTAATTCTTGTAACGAACTAGAGAGACTAGTTTTTCTTTTAACGGAAATAGATGATAACGGTACGGAGAGAGGAGCTCAAACTTCCAGAGAACGGGATACCCGAAGTAGTACCACGGAGGGTAACAGTTCAACTGCTGCATCGAATGCTCCGTTAGACAATGCTTTTGTTCCTGATGCTGCTATTCCACCATCTGCCACGGTTACGTTACCTGGATCAAGTGATGGTTCTGAACAAAGTCCTACACAAGGTAAACTATATTATAAGATTAATAAAATTAATTTAACTGATGCTATATTTCAGCTTCATAATCAGGCGTTCGTTCTTGTTGTGGGTGTCTCTGTCGTAGTATCAAGAACATTATTTGAGACCCACTGAGGCATTGTTTGTATATTTTCAATGTATTTTATATGTATATTTTGTTTGTAGGGGAGCATGGGGTGGATTTGGACATTATTTTTCAGTAGGGAATATTTTCAAGATATTTTAATAATTTATGTGACGTTAATGTAACGCACATCTATATCAGAATCTGAATTGCAATCAGCATTTTAAAGCGGTAAAATTGAGTTGTCCAAATGTACCCCACGTCCAAATGTGCTCCACCTTCTTACCCTATGTATATTTTTTAAATATATTTTATGATCTATGTGATTTCAGACTCACCTTTTCGTCGTTTCATTTCGTCATCCGACCGAAGCGGCTGGAACGACTGGCAGAGAGTCCGACCCTTAATGTCCAGCGATTTTAGACGTGATCTGTCTGCAGATAGCCAAAGGCTGGAATCGTCTTTCCAACCGCCGGCCACAGTTGCTAACACAAACACTAGAACGACCAACTCCACCATATACACTTCCAATTCATCTCCTAGACGAAGGTTTTTTTCGCATAGAATATCGGCGTTTATGCCAACTAGAGTAAACGTCATTAGATATAGAAGAGTTCCTAACTACTTATTAACAAGAAGCAGACTCAGTGGCAGGCCGTTGGGTTCTTCCACGTTCGGAGTCGATGAGCTGTTCAATTATTCCGAACTGGACAATTCGGAGGACGATCCCCCGCCCCCACCGCCACCCCCCGACGCAGATCATCCGGAACCGCCGATAGTTTCGTCGTCGGAGAGCTCTATCAGTGATATGTACGCGAATATCGTTCGCGATTTAGAGTCCACGTTGGACAATGTTATTAGGATGAGGGTAAGTACAAACATTGTTGCAATTTCGTAAAATTATATAATAGTTTTACCGTTTTGATCGTCCTGATTAGGAAAAGAACCCGTTATTATAAAGAGTCGAGTTATAAATCTTGAAACTGAGAAGTTGTGTATTGATTCGATGTCTGGATACCTATACCATTGTCACTTATCGTTTCCTTTCGCCCCTCTCATTCTTCCTTTCCCTCCTTCATATCTTTCCTCCTTCATCTCCTCCCTGTCTCTCTCTCTCGTTACAATACTAACATTCATTTTCTCTCTACATCTCTTCGGTCCGTTCCCTTTGACTCACCATTTCTCTATATTGTTCTGAAGCTATTTTCTTGTGGCATTGTAAATTAATTACTATTTATAACTGGGAATAAGCCACAATTAAAGATAAAAATACGTTTATTGACGTTTCAATTTCCAATTCGGAAATCGTTCTCAAAATACAAACAGTAAATTAAACAAATTTTGTTTTTTGTTACATAGTGAAAAAATTCTTCTAATAATTTAATTTTATCTGACTCATTTATATTGACAATTCAGACATACATTATGCATTTTAAAGTAGACGACTTTAAAATTCATTCTAAAATTCCTAAACGATATAAACGATAAAGAAGAGACAATAACATTTACCATGGAAAAGGAATATAATAACACGCTACCTTTCCTGGATGTTTTAATCTCTAAGAACGATACTGGATATGAGACTCAGGTGTATAGAAAACCAACACACACCAATAGATATTTAAATTTCAAATCAAATCACAATATTAATGTAAAAAGGGAATAATTAAATCCTTATACGATAGAGCCAAAATTACATGTTCTAACGAAAATTCGTTCTTGGAGGAGAAACATTTGTTAACATCTGTTTTATTAAAAAATGATTATCCTTTATCGTTTATAAATAAGGAGTTTTCAACAATCGATCGAATAGAACAGAACAACTTGGAACGAGATCCTACAGCATACACAAGGAATAATATGAGGAAAATAACAATACCGTACATAAAAGGATTATCAGAAAAACTTAAAAGGATAGGAAATAAATTCAACATTTCAACAACATTCAAAACAACAAACACGTTGAGATCTATTTTGTCCAAAACCAAACCTAACAATGAACAAGAAAGGACAAAGAATTGCATTTATAAAATACCTTGTGAATGCGATCAGTTTTATTTAGGTGAATCATCAAGGCCATTAAATGTTAGAATAAGTGAACATCAATCTTATATTAAAAATAGAGAATTTGATAGATCTCAAATATGTAAACACGCATGGGATAATGAACATAGGATTCAATGGAATAATTCAAATATAGTCCTAAAAGAAACAGATGGTAAAAATAGAAAAATCAAAGAAGCGGCTCTAATTATGCTAAATGAGGCCAATTGTGTCGCAAATTCCTCGACAGAATGTAGTAGGATCTGGTTACCAATATTGAAAGAGGAAGTTATTAATAAGAAAATACCAGTATTAGTAAGTCAGTAACATATAGAGCATACATCATTTATGTTTTTTAAATAACGTAACATATAAAATCAGAATTTTGATGTTTGTTGAAGGTAAACTAAATTCACGAACAAATACTTACAATGTCGGGATAGTATTATGAGGTTTTTTTCCTGGTTTTTCCTCATAATTTACTATGGAATCCCTCATAATTTCCCTCATAATTACATGCTATGATTTTTTTCTGACGGATATTCTCAAGTTAAAGTTGATTTCATGTAATCGAATGAACTATCTTATAAGTAAAGTCGTCCCAGGAGCGCAACTCAACAATATTGGCAATATCATTTTAAAGTCGTCTACTTTAAAATGCATAATGTATGTCTGAATTGTCAATATAAACGAGTCAGATAAAATTAAATTATTAGAAGAATTTTTTCACTATGTAACAAAAAACAAAATTTGTTTAATTTATTGTTTGTATTTTGAGAACGATTTCCGAATTGGAAATTGAAACGTCAATAAACGTATTTTTATCTTTAATTGTGGCTTATTCCCAGTTATAAATAGTAACCATTTCTCTATTTGCAATCCATTTGTCCTCCTTTAAATGATCTCCTATTAGAAACATTGTAGTTAAATCTCATTCTGCAAATAATGCTCTCCGCTGTATTATTCATTTTCTTTGCCTGCTCTCCTGTTTTATCTGCCATTCTTTTTCATAAAAGCAGAGTCTCGGCTGCATCTTCCCCACTGATCCCCTTCCTATCGATTTATTCTCTCTTTCGTTTTGTGATCGCTTTTTTCATATACCTCTTGTTATAATTGCAATCCTACTTTTCTCTCGTTATCACCCTACCCGTCTCTATCTCTCGCTGTCCCTCCTTTGTCCCCATTTCTCCTTATTTACGCTCCTTTTGTCTCCCCCTAGGCAATCTCTTGTATAAACATTATAGTCATAACTCATGGCACAAAAACTAATGCTGCATTCTTCGTTCGCTTTGCATGCGTTGAGATTATATTCCTTCTTTTTTATCTCCTATTTTTTTTCATATAAAGGCACAATGTTGGCTTCTTCTTCTATAATTTCCACTATTTTTTAATATTTCTGTATCTTCCTCACCTTATATATCTCTCTTGTTACAATAGCCGCTTCTATTCAGTCTCCCTGTCATTTTCCACTCTATCTTCCGTTACTATGTTTCTCGTGTTTTATCTGCCATTCCTTTTCATAAAATTCAGTCTCGGTTGCGTCTTCCCTACTACGGAAGCTTTTAATCCTTATCTCTCGATCTATTTTCCCTTCTTTATTCTCTCTTTTGTTTTGTGATCTCTCTCCCTCTGTAACTCGTCGGATTTTCTCTATCCCTCTTGTCATAATTGCAACCCTCTTTTTTTCTCTCTATTGTCCTGTCCCCTCCCCTCTATCTCTCGTTGCTCCAATGGTCCTGATTTACCTCCCGTTTGTCTTCTCCTTACCACTATCTTATTATAAACATAGTCACATGTTCCAAAAAACTCACGCCGCATTCTTCATTCGCTTTGGATGCGTTGATATTATGTTCTTCCTATTTTATTCTTCTTCGTGTCTCTACTTCATTCGTCTATAATTTCCACGATTTTAATCACCCTCCTTTTCCCCCTCTCTATATCCCCTGTTTATATCGCTATCCAATTTTTCTTTCTACTTTCACTATTCTCTCAGTGTCCCTCTTTTATTATAATACCACTTCTCCTTTTTTTTCTTCCCCTTACTCTCTTTTTATCGCCCTACTTCTTTCCCGCTTGCTCTCCTTTGTCCAATTTTTCGCTATTTTTATATTCGTTCGCAATATTCGTTCTTTTTGCGTATGTTAAGATTATTTTAATCATATTTTATTTCATATTATTCTTCATATTTTTTATGTTCTTCTTTCATTCAAATGATGTTAAAATATATTTCATATTTTAACATCAGTCCATCTGTTAAAAGCCGATTCAAATCCGGCTCGAAGGACCAATGTAAAACGATGAGGAAAAAGGTGTTCGTCTCCGTCAGACTTAAGCGTAATAGAAAAAAAAGCGCAGATAGATGTAAATCTTTATTTGACAACTGGCCGTCATTAAATATCATTCATCGCAGATGTGTTTTAGAAGTTTTCTTAAATTCCATTTAAGTTTTTACGTCTTATAGATAATTATTTGTTAGCATTGTTAAAGTTTTTAAATAACAATAATACATAAGTATTTACTCATTTGTAAAATCCTTTTTAGTTTTTTAAATGCCCTAGTGCATATAAAGTTTCTTTTAATGAAATCATTTTCACATTCGACCAGTTTTCAGGTCGAAGGTCGAGGTCGAAATAACCTCACATGTAATATAAGAGACGGATTTGTTTTTATAATAGTCGAGTCAATGAAGCGTTACCAGTCTGACTTTAATACAAAACAAAATTAGTTTCTTCTGTAAATTTGTCTACGTTTTGAAAAGCACTGATGCACATGAAAACATTACAATCAATTTGTCACGTTCGAATGATTTTCAGAAAGAAATCGAGAAAACGGAGCCTTTCAGTAGGCAGAAGGGTTTGTATAATAGTCGGATCAATGGTTTTTATTTCGTAATTCTCAGTAATATTGCAGTATATACATATACAGACGCAATTTCAACTTTTTATCCCGATTGACTGGACTATTTCTTTAAGATATAGCCGAGGCAATGAAATGAAAGTTTTTTTTCTGAGAATTTCTTAACTGAAACTTGTCATCTGTTCCTGTGGAATACAATGTTGTTATTTTTAGAGTTCCCGACCGGGTGAAACATCAAGCATATTAAGTAGTTTTTCAGACAGACTTACAAGTATTTTGACTCAATCTGATACAATATTAAGAAACATTACCAGTTCTATGGATGTTCTGGTATCTAACACAAATAGGTATCCACAAGCAGAGGTAAGCTTCGTTTTCATGAGATTGTCAATGTCTTAAAATGTTTTTTCTTTAGAGTTCCAACACTCCCTGGTACTCCTGTTACGATTCCAATTTCTACGTTCGCGACCAACGTCTGGACCTTTCACCTGATGCCAATAATTCAGATACAGTCAATTTATTTGACATATTCAGTCCTAGACCGAATTATAATGCTGTAGCATCGGACCACACTTATCCTAGGACGAGGAATCCGGACGAGCACGGCAATCCAGAATCCGGATCACAGCTGGTAACAACAATACGTGCGATGATTAGGCAGATTCAAGGTCAAGCCAGAATACTCAGACAACAGGTACGTATTTTTAATAACACCGTTACAAAAGTGCTAAATTTGCGATGTATAATTTCAAGGTTGAAAACATTGAACGCATCGATCGAGCTATGATCGAGGTAGAGCAGCTACAGGTCATCCGACGACTCATCGTCGACCTGATTCGACACCTCGGGAACACATCCGGCAGCCCAGGTGTGGCAAGCAGCCGCAGCAGTAGAAGCGGCGTGTCCAGCGTGCGGCAAATGATGGCAGGCACGAGAATAAGCGATTCCACGCCGGGTGAATCGAGCGCCGATAACAGGAGACCTTACCGAACCTTCCATAGTCGTATTCACGGCGAAGGCAACGGAGGAAGTTGTAGAACCGAAGGACTAGGTAGTCAACGAACTGACGGGGGAAATCCTTCCGGAGAAGGAACTAGTAGCGGCAGTAATCCGCTGACGAACTCGGTACTGAGAAGCGGCGGCAGAAAGACGTATCCTCCGTCAAAGATGTGTCGGTGAGTTGATTTTTTATATTGTTTTCGGTGTAAATGTTATGAATCGGATTCAAGTTAAGAGGAAATTCGGCGAAAATTGTTTTATATTTTAAAATAATTACGCCCGGGACATCTTGGAAGGTCGTAAAAAGTATCTATACGGTAATTAGTTCGCGAAATTTTGATTTTTGTGTTCGCGTTCATTGACGACTTTGCTAGATTTTACTAATATTATAAAAAAACAAAGTTAGTATTCTTTACCAATGTTCTACTTGCAAAAAACATCCTTCTCGGACTAGATGGACATATTTTTTAGTTGAACATTGTCGAATTTTGTTACTCCTAGCTTTCTACTCCCTTGATGGAGTCTTCATCAGGACTTCCGGGTCTCCGTCTCCTGACTTCTCAAATCCTTTTGCTAGAACACTGCACAGCTGATGTTTCTAGTCGTAAGCGGGTCATTTACTATATGCATGTCATATCTAGAGATTTTTTACGATCTCATGAAGTATACCTAAGGCTTAAATTTAATATTTTTTTTTTAAATACACAGAAATTTTCGAAATAACATTTTTTGAAGTGCAAACCCTATTTTACAAGGAATGATACGTCTATCAGTTACCGTCACTCTTAAAGACACAAGCATTTACACAACAAATAGTTTTCTCTCTCTCTATCTCTCTCTCTCTCTCTCTCTCTTTCTCTCTACGATAAAAAGGTATTGATACATTGATCGTGGCGTCAATATATTTGAGTTTCTGCTCTTTCCAACAAACGGTTATAACAAACAGAAAATTTTTACTGACTTTGCATTGATTCATCAAAGAGTCTGACGCTGATTTAACAATTAGCTACTCTTAGTTTTGTCATCTGTCATCCAACGTGTGTCATATGTCAAAATTTCAAATAAATACAACTAGTTTGATTTTAACTGTCATCGAGACACAGCAGGTTTTGGTTTTCGAAAATTGGAAGAAGTCCAGTTGAGACAAAACTAAAAATTGAGATTAAACAGTGCTCATATCAAACACCATAAAGAGGAGAAAAACAGAATACTTCGGCGGTATAATTATTACCGATGATATCTAAACAAAAACTAGTGGAGGTAAAACACTTCATTTTCGCACTTATCTTATTCGCTCATTAATGTTACCATTTCCTATATTTTATATTGAAAACTTACACAAATACATACGCTTTATGTATTTTTAGACTAATATGCTGCTATCCAAAAGAACACAGATACTTTTTCTATGATTACCTGCAATAGTTCCGTTAGAACAACTTGTTTGAATTTGGCCCTATTTAGGACAGAATTTTTGCTGTATCTCAAAAGTAAATCATGATATCGGTATAATTTTATTGTAAACTGAATATAGATTAGGGAAATATTTATGAGGATATTATCAACTCCTACATTAGGGGTTGAAATGAGGGGTGAATAGCTACAAACCCGAAGATTCGTTGACAAAGTTTGTAGACGGTTTTCGTGGATCGTGAAAATGATTTTATCAACCATAACTTTATCAAAAATAATCGTGGGAGGGCTCCCTATCACTCTGGGAATGAAAGTTGTCGGTGACTGGCTAAAAAAACAAGAAAACTCTCTGGACAACTTTTTAAAGGATTTTAAAGGCAAACGACAGTTGTTTCCTGCAGTCGATTTTTTGGACTTACTTAATTGTTAACAAAGTTCGATCTTTTTGTATTCAAAAATTTGAGATTTACATTAATGATTTTTAAAGCCAAACATATTATGTGTCAAATCTAAGCAAATTGTTCTAATTCAGGGATGTACAGACCTTTCAAAACTAAGGACGATAACTTTTTTACTGAGTTTTGAGGAGCTCCACAAAAGAATCGATTATTCATATTTATTTAGTTGTTTATCACCATTGAGAAGGCATTCCAATCTTCTGCCGCATGGAATAATTGTCCTGCATTTGATATCTATTTTTAACCAACAAACCCGTTTGCTTTGCCACTATATGTCCCAGATAAGACATTTTTAAGTAAAGAATACAAAAAATAAATAAATGTCCATTTTATTATATAGACTAAAAAAAGCACGACATTCATTTAACTATACCTGTACTTAATATTTGGTTCGATCTTGGTGGTGATTAAGTGTAAAGTGGGTTCCACAGGTTTAATAGTCTAACAATTATTATTGTGAAGATTCTCATTACAGCAATCTCTTATAGGTTGTGATTTACAGTTTTCACTCGTGTCTCGTCAATATCAATATGACCACTTATATTTTGGTCTTATCCTGTTTTCTTACTCAATTGTAAATTATACATGTTCTTGTAAAATCGACTGACCTTTTCCCTTTTTTTTTCCTATTTCTTCTGAGATGCAGATGTAAATATATCCGTTTCTGTTGCACTTGTCCTTACTTCTAGCTGTGGTCGTTGTCCAGTCAGAGTAGCACGCTTCTTGTTGAAATGTACAAGGGATATTTTTCCCAATTTTACTAAAATAGCATCGATTAGTAAATTATAACATGAATCTGGCTCGAAGGACCAATGTAAAAGTGCGAGATTGAAGATGCTCTTCGGAGATCTCGGAATGCTAGAAGTCACAGATATATGTAAAGGTTTGCTTATAACTAGCGTAACAGTAATTCAAAAACTAATAGATTAAACTAAAAGCTATCACTAGTTATGAATACTGTCCCAAGCCCAAGCAGTGTTTGTTCAAAATTAAACGAGCTTATTCCGAGACAAGTCGTCATTTGCAGAATTTTATCATTTATTAGATATAGAATAGATTATTAGTTATCTGCTGTATAAATTTAGAAACTAAAGTTGGAAAAACTTAATGAAAAATTAATTTTTTATGTTATATCGAGATAGTATGAGTGCAACAACTTTTAGCTAATATGACTCCACAATGTTGTCATCGGTTATGACTTGTATATAATTTTTTCATATTTCGTCATTTCTCTGTCGTTTTAAGAATGAATAGGGTGCATTTTCAGCCAAAATGGTAAAGAGTTACTAAATAAATCAATCAAAAGCTTCATACTTCTTTATTAACTCGTGTTTTGTGAGCCATAGCGCAACTAATAAACCTAAATGTCTGATAATTTGCTTACGGGTCGCTAACATATCGAGTAATGGGCTGCGGTCTGTGCATCCCTGTTCTACCTCGTGTATAAAATGATATTCACCCCGCTCTAGCTTGGCTCGCCAAACTCGCCGACCCTCTGTCCTGCGTTTTTTCCTCCGTCCTTACTCAAACAGATCCGACAGATCTACAAGGCAAACTTCGCAATCTCGTAACACTTCTAGATCTACACCGAGTACGTCCACCACCAGCAACGCCACCCCGGAGCCGTTCTCTCCTTCCTCGTCCTTCAATAGTCGCTACCAGTTATCCTCCAATTATTCCGTCATCAACGCTAACACCATGGGGCTGATGACCAGGAGGCTGGAGATCCTGTTGACTGAAGAAATGGCGGCGTTCACGACGACCAATCAGCCGAGACAGACTCCCACCAGGGATAGGGAATCTCCTTCGACCATCGATCTGGGGGAACATATTCTGGCTCACCGATTGAACGGTTGTATTCTCAGGATGAACAGAATACTAGGTTAGTAGATCAATTAACATATTAAGAAGAAATGATCTACAGATTCTGTTTATTCGTAGGTAATCCCAATTCTGCGTCTTTGAGCCTTTACCGGGCGGATCCAATATTGGCAGTTGCCCAAGACGGTGTATCTAGGTACGGAGCTCGACACACCTTAAGCCTCATCATAGACAGCATGAGTCGTCATGTAGAAGATCTAGGAGATTCTTCTATTCCTCATGGGTAAGTAGAACATATATATAGTCAATCCTTTTTTTTAATAATCAAAAGACTGATATGTTTTTTGTACACACTTATGACAAGTCAAAAGAAAAGGCAAAAAAGTATTTTTGAAGTGTTTATATTTTAATAATTCCTAGCTGAGCGCTTTCGGCTTTACAAAGCCATCATCTGAGCTATGGTCAATATATAAATACCGCTACAATGGAGAGATCTCATTTCCTTATTTGTTGAAATTTTGATTTTTTTAATTACTTAGTTGTTAAAAATTCTTACAATGGTCGGGTTCCTACACCCGTACTATGAAAAAAATTTTTAATGTGTCTGTGAAGTCCAGTGTGGGTTTTTTGTATATTTTTTAAGAATTTTTAACAACTAAGTAATTAAAAAAATTAAAATTTCAACAAATAAGGAAATGAGATATCTCCATTGTAGTGGTATTTATAAATTGACCATAGCTCCGATGATGGCTTTGTAAAGCGAAAGCGCTCAGCTAGGAATTATTAAAAATATACACACTTCGAAAATACTTCTTTGCCTTTTCTTTTGACTAATCCTTTTTTTATATATTACAGGAATTCCTTATAGGAATCGTTGTTTTTGTGTCTTGTAACGAGTTAGCTTGAAGTCAGTTCAAATTGTTAAGGAGCAGACTCACTTTGCTCAGATTTATAAAAACCTAATTGTGGGAAGCATTGTTCTAATCTCATACACAAGATGGGTTGAAATATGTGTTCTTCGATTGGTAAAACTGCTACCCAAACCTATTCACTTTTACACTGTATTACAATTTATAATAATCAAAACGCACGAAAATAGAGACAAAATCTTTATGTGTAAAAAATTCGAAAATGTATTTATGTGATTTTTAATATATTGTCTGAACGGCACGGCAGTTAAGGGGTGAGTGTATAATTTTTTCTACATAAAAGGTACCTTTTCAAAAAGAGGCTGCTTTGGGAGTATGATGCGACATATTGGTGTCATAAAATTCCCATTCAATCAAAAACGAGGGCAAAAAAAAACAGCAAAAAGAGTATGTTGATATTTCAACACTAATACTTGTATGAAATTGGATGTTATCTATTCAGTATATTTTTCCAAATCACCGTGAATAGATGTGACACGTGCTAATGATAAATTTGTATCAAAATTGATGGGCTGTTCTGGTAATGTTCCACACGGTTCACCCATTTTACGGTTACCAAAATTGTCCAAGAGAGAGAGAATTATTCGCAGTGTGGTGGACAAATTTGAGTCCACTTGTTGAATAAACAATAAACCACAATTCGTACGCCTAGGAATTTAATTACTTACTTTGAAAAATAACACATTCATCATTCAACAATAATAAGCAATAATATATCAAGCAGGAAAATGAAACTGTAGGAAATAATTTTGATAGCCTAACAAAACTTGATGCCAACATCATCATGATCATGATGTTGATCTCCAACATCCGTAACGGATAGACACCGTAAGAAGAAGAAGAAACAAAACTTGCAATAAATAAAATTAAACAGAAATCTAAGGGCAACATTATTTAAAAAAATTAATATTAAACTCACCTGGTTTTCGAGTTGAAGCGCGTCGAATTTGAGTACACAGAGCTTTCGACTTCTCTCTGAAGTCTTCATCAGGGCTGCCGGAGTCTCAGTCTCCCGAGCCTCAGACCACTTCACTTGTATACTATTCACTATGTTACCGTACTATTTTAAGCAGTTTTCTTTTTATTTTCGAATGGTATATTATATTTAAAATAAGCAGGTATCTATCAGATATGTTCATTATTATTGTTTGTTTGTTAGACAGCAGATGCACGGAGTATTAGCAATGTCCTTACTACTCACGGAGCTAATGTTTCTCGTGGTGGTAGATTCTATTCCGCCACCCACAGGGGCGATTACGTTCTACGATAGGATATCACTGACTTCGAGGTTAGACAGATTATGCGGACAGATGCTGGCAGCCAGGTAAGAACTATTTTTTATTAATGTTATATAGTTTTCTGCTCCTGTACGAGTAAATCTAAATGTGTGGTCGATTATAACTCCTACTATAGTTATTGATTGGTTTCAGACAAAGTTCTTATTTGTCCCAACTCACAAGATGTCTCAGACTGATGAAGATTACGATGAAGCACGCCCAAAGTGTTCTCTATCAAACTTATAACGCGAGAAGAAGTACTTTGTTGCCCCGCAATAACACGGACCGAAGAATGTTGCTGGGATCGATAAACAGGTATAAATATTACGTTTGCTATTATTTTGCTTCTGTATTTTTCTTTTTTGAGTGCTATATCTACCAAAATCATTTGTTTTGGCATTTTTGATATATTTTTGTATATTTTAACTTAAACTTAGAGCATTTTTAAGGTATATAAAAATACATTTGTCTTTTTGTGTTTGTTTAAATTCCGCATTTTTTATGACAAATTTTCTAAAGGAAACATTATAATATTGGTATTTTTGTATGCTTCCACGTTATAATTTTAGTTTCGTATGTACGTCTATAACTGTCATAAATTGCAGTGGCATATTTTAAATAGTGATGACAATAACACGATAACTCAAAAATGCTTTCAAAACCTACTAAAACTATGGGTATTTTTCGATATGTTCCAAGAAACCCCAAAAAAAGTGGTTGAAATGGTATATATTCATTTGCTTTTCCCACCTGCACCTCGTCTTCATTTCTTTAGGTTTGTCTTCTTGTTTAGGTGTTTGAGAACGATAAGACGACAGCGACAAGCGGAACATAACTCGCCTCAAGAAACTCCAGACAGGAATCAAGAATCGACTGCAGATACCGCATCTACCTCAAGTACTTTTAACAATATGGAATGGTATTCGTCGATTTCTGAGTTGATATCTCAGATATCATCAGAGAACAATGACGGTAGGATATTTAGGTTTTTATATTGATTGTAACGGGAATTAAGTCCAGGTTTCGATTTATTTATACTTTTATTTACTTTTTAGTACAATTACATTATTACTTCTAAAATCCAAAGGTATGTCATAACTCCAAATTCGGTTTCGAGTTCACAGAAGACATTCTATATAATTCAAGAGATTCATGACGAAATTAAATGTGATTCATCTTGTCGTAACTGTAACCTGCAGCGTTGACAATATATGTTGATTTAATATTTCTGTTAGATGGTGTAAATGTGATTGATAAAAATAATTATTTTTACATTTATTAGATTAAACATTCTGCAGCTAAATCATAAGACACATTTTATGTACCCGTCGTGAGTCTAAATCTTATTTTTTTGATCGAAGTCTACAGTTTAAACCATCTTCAAGTCAAAATAATGTCCGTAAAAGTTTGTTTCTACGTTTAGATGAAAATCCAGTTGACACTTCCCAACCATCTACCTCTCGAGCGTTCGAATCACCGAGTCAAGCCAACGACGTGTCTAGTAATAACGACAACAGCGACGATGACGACGATGATACCGACGGGTATGGTATGGGCAGAAGCAATCTCTACAGAACCAGCAACATCAATCTGTCGCCCTCACCGGGAGCTGATCAACCTGCAACTACTAGCGCATCAGTATCGCCACCTGCAACGCGTTATTCCAGGTAAAACACTTCAAACTTACTATTTTGGTATCGTATCATACACATAACCTCAAATCTTCCAGAAAGCTTCATCGATAGCTCAAAGTATTCATAATGACATTAGATGCGTATATATAAAACAGATCTTTCTTATTTCTTTTAACAGGCCTTGGAACGTTCCTCTGGTAGCAGTGAATGACGTCCCAGTTACCGAAACTCCCACGTTCACCCAGCGCTTTATCAGCCAACGAGCCAGGTTCGCGGAACGGCTATCGGAAATGCGATCTAACCCTCAGATAGTGGGACTCCTGCGACCAGGGTTTTTGCATCCGCTGTATTCCAGCGTCAATCCTTTCGACGCCGATCTAGATGATCCGCGCGAGCAGATCTACGACAGCGACATGATCACTACTGTCACTCCAAACCATCGGATACAAGCATGGGACGTGTCCGATTGGGGTATACCTACAATTGCGAGTCGTGAGTATTTTTGTCTCATAAAATAATTTACAAGTCGTGTTCAATCACAATAATATAATTAATGTAGAGTGAGATATTTTAAATTTAGATTAAATCACACACGTTTTGCTGTGATTGTTGATGCTGTTAGGTTAATTGGCACAGGTTATAAATTTGTATAGACTCCGATTTGAGGCTGAATATTTTACTGCTTGTACCTTAGTTAAGATGTTAATTTTATTATTATTTGTAGAAGAATGGACCAAGGGCACCCAAAATATACATTGGTCCTTCGAGCCGGATGCACACTCGTTGATATTTTTTTTATGCGATACTGCTCTCTCTCTCTCTCTCTCTCTCTCTATCTCTAAGCAACAGTTCTAATATAACTTCCTATTGGTGTTGATTTTCTCGTCTTACAGTTTTGTCACCCTATTAAACAACTTAACATTACTCATTTAAACTTTCGCCCATTCTGTCAGTCATAAAATCAAAGAATTCTAGTGTTTCTGGTTCCCAAAATAAGATATAATCACGTAAAGTTGGATATATATTTAAGGTTTATATACAGGGTGTTCAAGAAAGGTATTGGAGTTTTGAATATTGAATATAATAATAAAAAAACATGAATAATCGAATGGGTTTTTAATGTTTTAGCTAATCTGAAACAAAGAGACACAAAATGGCGACAATTCCTCACGAAATTGTCGCCTTTTTTGATACGAATTTCTGCTTTAATTTTTTGTTTAATTCGTTAGTTTGTTTTCGTTTATTCATACTTGTTATTATCACCAAAAATAATCAAAACGACTGAAGTCGGGAGTCCTTGGAAGTCAGTCAGTGATGCGTCTGCGAGAAATCACTTGGTGAGTAATAACCAGTTGAAGTACCCGAAAAAAAAACCTAGGGCCCTAAGTCTATCGAATATAACAGATCTTATTTTTGTTGATTTTCACAAAACATTTGACACAGTAAAAATAGTCGATATCTTAAAAGCACTATCAGAATGCAGAATAGACCACAGATATGCGAATATTATCCGAAATATATATGAACATGCAACAACTGTAAACCTTCATTACATGTCTGATAAGATAAAAATTGACAGAGGGGCACGGCGTTGAGATACTTTAGCCTAAAAAGAAGTGTGACCAATTGTATAGCAGACGCGCAAAAACAGAAATAGATTGCAATATCTAGAGCGTCCATCAAAGAATATAGAAGGATCTTTCACTGTTTTTTTTAGCGATTTTTAGCGTCGGCAAAAGTTGATCATACGGTATCAAAAAGAAGCAAAGGTAGATCAAAATTTTGGTTCCTTATCAGTACCACTAGAGAGCGGTCATGCCGGCGCTATTATTGCTTCTAAAATATGAAAGAGTGGGGCAACAAATGCAACTTAGATATTTTTATATGTAGATGCCGCGTGGGCGTAGAATAGCATTAAATTTTTGCGTTTTATATTTTTTTTTTAGAAAAAATAATATTTTAACTTTTAATGAATCTTTTTTAAAAAATATTATGATTAAATTTTTTATTCAAATAGGTACAAATCTACAAATAATATAATTAAAACTGTATTTTTATAGACTATCAATAAAATTAATTAAAAGTCAATCACTGGGAGAGAAAGCTCAAAAAAATTGTAAGGTGTTTCGATCAAAAAACAATTCCTGTTCTTGTTAGTATGCTAGAATTGCTTTTTGTAGTGTGGTGGTGTAGCACATACACCAAAGAATTATTTCGCCTCACTAGAGCTCAACAAAGGAAGATAAGAAAAAGGCAAAAATGGCTGCTGGGACATAGACCATAGCAAATAATAAGAAATCCAAATCAGCAACACCCGACGATAAAAAAGACTTCGGGAGAATTTTGAATATGGTCAATAAACTAAAATATAAGGAACAGCTTGTAATAGTGACACATCAAAAAGGGTGCAACTTCCTTGCCATTTTACAAAATTACAATTAAACAAATAGTAGATGGCAAGGATAAAATGAAATATAATCATTATTACTTAGTTAAATTCTGTTAACAAGTCCTACATGCATATAAACGAGAAAAATCATAATCCAGAAGCGTGGTTTGGTGAAAGAAGTAAGGTTATGAATATTGAGAATGCTGTTAGAATTATAGAATAAAGATTACAATGAAAGTACTTACCCCAAGAGAATTTGCAGACCATAAAATGAAGCTTGTTATAATTCCTATCTTCTTATAAAAATTTCAATTATAAACAAAAAATAATCCCGCCATTAAAGGTGATTGGCAGAAAGTAGGTAAGGGTTATATGAAGTTAGCACAGATGTTATAGGATGTTGCTATATCATGAAATTAGCTTGTCTGTCAACACAGAACAGAATATTTAGTCTGCCGGTTCTATGGAACAGCAAGAGAGATAAAAGACAGAGGAAGAAAAGAAAAACAGAGGAGAAAGAGAGGGCGCCAACTACTTTTTAACTAAAAAATAGTAAAAAGAGAAACTGAAGTTAAAGGAATTAATAAATTAATACAGAAATTAAAATAAAATAATTATTTAGATATAAATTAATAAAGATGTGACGTTTATAACTTTACAGAATTCACGAACGGTATACATAAACATCTTATTCTACTTTATAATGCTATCGTCTTTATAATGCTACTTTATAATTGTTGCTCGTGTTAAACCAAATAAGACAAAATATCTTTACTCCTTTCAAGATTTTTGTAAAACTGTCTTTTACAGGTACAAGGAACGTTGTCGTAAGCGAATGCAAGATCCACAACGATGCCAGCGTTGATATAGCCAAAGACGGATCTATCCTGGTAACTTTGCTGCCTTCGGGAGGATATTTGAACGTCACAAACCGATTAGGTAACAATAAAATCGTTGTATAAGCAAATTATTTCGAACACAAGTCAACCAAAACAACCTCCGAATGTTTAGTACATTCATTAGTCTTTTCGGTCGACGATATTGACTTGCTAAATATCGGATGTTGTTTTTGTTAGTCTCAAATTGATTAGTACTCCATTTTTAATAATTTATTCCTTTAAAATAATAGGAGTGTACAGTCTGAAGTGGAACACACTCGGTCAATGTTTATATACCACCAGTTTCGAGCAGAACGCCGTGTCCGTGTCCCTATCGCCACTGAGCCGGCATCTGGTCGTCGGTTTAGCTTCCAGAATCGTCCCTAGCGATAGATGGATCATGGCGAGAGTGTTTAAGATCCAACAAAAGGACGAACCGGGTGACAGACTGCCAGCGATCCGGGAATTGGAGCAGAATCGCGACAGTAGGATAAATTGTATCAGATGGTTGCCGACGTCCGGCCAAGGATTTATTTACGCCACTAATACGGGACAATTGGTAGTATTGACGTAAAAAATGCAGGGGAATTTACGTAATGGTGTATTCGATTAATCGTGCAAGGTGGGGACAGTTTAATATGATTGAATGGTTGTTTCATCTGTTTGCTGTATCTCTTTCCACACAATTTTTGGTGAAATTTGATCATATAGAGCAAATTTTGCCAGTTAGAAATCATATTTTTATTAATAGGATTGAATAAGTAGCGTCTTTAAATAGTTCTATTGAGGTTGTTTGAAACGTGCTAAAATTTGCAACCTTATAATAAGTTTGCCTGTCAAAATTGACTGACAAGTGACATTGACAGTTTGAAGCTTGGGATTGTATTATTACTAAGATAATATAGTGAATCCCAAAGTCAATATACTTTGATAACTGATTAAATCTGTTAGATGCGAGGTACTCCAAACAGCTTGAAAATCTCATGTTATGTATGAATTGTTGATAGAATGAAAATATTTTTCGATTTTTGATGTACTGTATGTAAATGTTAAACTGATTCGTAGAAGCTTGTATAAAACAATTTTATGCCAGTTTATCTATTGATATTTTATTCGGTCTAAGCGAATTGGACGTATGTCTTTTGTGAATAATACCACATTATTGTAAAAAAAAAACCAATTTTTTTCAGTTTTTATACCAGAATTTGTTAAAATATACATTTTAAAAAGTATAATTTCTCAAAATTTTTACCAAAGATGCACAATTTGTCAAATTAATTCAATTATGTGGTATTATATAATATAATAATTTGTACTGAATTTGCAGTTACTATTAGACAAGACGTTGATTTAATATACATATAAAAAAACTATTCGAGATCTTTGCAAAAATTGTACACCGAAAAAGTTCGTACTTGAGAAACATTACTTGTACTGCACGGAAAATTGGATCATAAACAGAATGAAATAATAAAACGTTGATTATTCAAAGACAGAGCACCTTAGAGCACTATTTCAGATTTCCAGAGTCTAAATACAGGGTGAGTTTGTAGTGCGGTTTTGGTTGATAATTCCACTATGAGAATATCCAAAAAAGTTGTTTAGAAAAAATGTAGGCAATAATATTCTCCAGGGTTGAAAAATATGCCGAATGCACAGGGTGATTAATAACTAGGGTAAAGGGAGGAGAGATGAACCACCTTTTAAAAAACTGAAGCCTGTTTCTTTATTAAATAAACATCAGAATAGAAAAAAATTGTATAACATAAATTTACATTTATTTATACAAATATTGCTTACCTTATTATGTAAAATGAATAATTATTTATGTATTCCTTCTTTATATACAGAGTGTTTATTTCATAGCGATTTCAAAATAGAAATGAGCATAACTAGTTAAATACCCTGTATAGTAGTATTGAATCCAGTATTGTAAGAGCAGGGATTATGAGAGGAATCCAAATATGAGAAAATATATAGGATGTCTTATTTAAAAAACTATGTTTGCTTCACCACGTAGTGATTAATCACTCTGTAGAATTCGGCATATTTCCAAGCCTGGAGAATATTATTGCCTACATTTTTTTTAAATATTCTGTACCATAATGGAATTATTAACCACAGTAAAAATGCACCCTGTATAATTAGAAAAGATCAAAAGAATATATCTCTTAGATTATATTACAGTGATTCCTCGATAGTTCTGATAGAACTATCCACGCTGATATAACAAATATTACTTAACAATATTAATTGGTCAGTGCTATAATGCACGTCGTCAAAGTAATTTTGCAGAAAGTGAACTTAGAATCAAATTAAACCATAAATATATGTCTAGAGATATCCCCTTAATAAAAAGCATGAACTATTTTGTTGACCAACTGTACATCGATCGTTTGTGTAAATAAAACAATCTTATTCCCAAATTCGGTATCTATGTGTACCTGACAAATCAATATCAGCATCTGAAAATGTTGTCGCGTTCCTTTTGTGCTACTCTACTCAGTTTGATTTGAGGTTAGATCGAGCCGTTGCTTGTAGGCCTAACTTCAGATTGGAGATGTTTATCAAAAATAGTTGTAATATACATAACAAATTTCCAACTGTTAACAATTGAGAAACAAATAGGAACTTATGGAGGACCAGATATATTTTTCGATGTTAGTAATATCAAAAGTCGTAAGTTTTGAACACTTCAATAGAAAATATTATGTCCTGTAAAATTCAAAATATACAAAATTTTTGACATGATCAAAGTGGGCGGATTCTTAGCTTAGGAGTTGAAAATTTTTTATGCTAATAATATATTAAGTATATACAGAGTGATGCAGCATTATTGGAACTTTCATCAAGTAGTGGAAACTTTATCGTCTTAATCAAAAAGTATTTACTTATAATATGAGCATTTTGTTTTGAAAATATGATTGTTATTTAGCAAAGATGCAAAATTTATCAATGATATATTCCTGCAAAAAACAAAAGGTTAATTTTGCTCATTAATAATTAATGAGTGATAGAGAATGTTTATTATGTATACTTTAATTATTTTTTTCTTTATGTGAGTTTTTCAAGGTCAACAGTTTTGATATCTAGATCATTAAAAAATACAGCACGAGTTTTTGTCTATACAACTTCTGGTGTTTTTTTTTTGCATTTGCCACCAGTTTTCATCCATTACTTTTGATAAATCATTTATTTTCTGAATTATCTCATTCATTGTATGGCTTGTTCCAACTGTTCCTTCTGTTGGGTGTGTTTTATGAATTTCTGTGATCAATTGCTCCCAGAATATTCAATAAAATTAGTCCTTTTTGCAGGCTTTATACACCCACTGTATATTTTTAATTAAGGCATAAGTAGATTATATTTTTAAAGTCAATCACACTGTATATATAACGTAAATGTAAATATCATATATTTTGTAATTTTAATATTCCGGGAATTGCTTTCATAATTGCTTCAATCGAAAACAGAAATGGTTTTAGGCAATTTTGGTTCACCAAAAGTAGGCAACTCTACATACTCATAGAAGTGACAATGCCAGTTCAAGTTCCAGTCACACTCATGTTGTTCATTCTCAACCAAAAGTCAAAGCAATCATAGAACGCAGATGTAAGTCGATACTTAAATTTATAAAATGATATTCTCCACGCTTGGAAAATATGTATACAAGATGACTACGTGTAAAGCAAACTTACAAGTTTCACTCTAATACAATTCTCTACTACAGAGGGCACAACGAATTATGACCACACTGTATATTGTACTGTTTTTATAAGTCTAATTTATTTACTTTATTTCCCTTATTATAATTCACTAAAACACAATAATTTATATCAATTTATTAAATCATTTATTTGTTACAACAATTTATTTTAACAATAATGTCAAACTGTCAGTTTCTGACAAATCAATCATGGCCAACTCACAATAATTATTGGTAATCGTTAAAATATCTACCAAATTAATACTTTGTTGGAAAATATAAATATCTAGAAAACTGCCTCTAATTTCCTAATTTCTACTTCTGCGGATGTGGAACCTTCGATCCTAACTCTGGCGTTTTGGTTCCAGTACGTTTTAGTTTCAATAGGTTTTTGGAAGAATTTGATGTCTTTTCCATCTAAACCGACTTCTTGCAGACGTTCTAATAGTAGGTCGTGTCTTACTCTATCAAATGCTTTTTCGAAGTCTATAAAGCATATAAATATATCTTTCTGTGGTCGTAGCATTTTTGGGCGAGAACTAGTAAACTGAACAGGGCTTCTCTCGTTCCCATGCCGGCTCTGAATCCAAACTGATCGTCTCCGATGATTGTTTCGCACTTTCTATAGATACGATTATGTACGATTTTTAGTAGGACTTTTACTGCATGACTCATAAGGCTTATCAGACGGAACTCATTGCAGTGTTGTGGGTTTGGCTTTTTTTGGTAGTGGGATGAATATTGACTCATCCAATCTTGGGGTATTTTACCTGTATCATAAATGCGATTGAATAATAGGACAAATATTTCGATATTTTCTTCGCTGATTAATTTTAACCTTTCTGGGTGTATTCGTCTGGACCTAGGCTTTTATTTGTTTTGAGATGATTAATTGCATTTATGATTTCAGATTTCAGAATTGTTGGCCCTTCGTTGTTATTTTCCAATCTTGGTTCTTCTCGTGAAAAAGAATTTTAATATAGTTTTCCCATTCTTCTCAGTTTATCTTCCGTTGATTCTAGCAGTTTGCCATCCGTGTTCAGCATGGTGTGAAAAGTCGTTCTCTTGGTAGTCGATGTAAACTCTTTTACCTTTTTATGTAAATTAAAAAGATTGTGCCTTTGTTGCAGTTCTTCTATTTCAACGCATTTTGTTTCCAGCCATTTCTCTTTTGGCTTCGGTTATTTTTTTTCGAATTATTCTATTTAGTCTTTTGTATTCTCCGTCCTTGTCATTTTTTTATGTCATTTTTTCATATCCTTTGTCAACGTTTATGTCATCGTACTCGCTAATTCTATTATGGTCGATATTTCCTAAATTTTTGTTTAATTCTTTATTTACTGTCTGATGTATGGTGTCGTTTTTCAATACTTGGATGTCTAATAGTTGGTGTTGAGGTTTTTGTTTCTTTATTAGTTTCCATCTTGCGCGAACTTTTGCAACCACATGATTATGATCGGAATTGATGTCAGTTCCAGGATATGTTTTTGCACTAATGATTGCATTGTGATATCTTTAATTTTTAACAATTATTAAAAAACTATGGTTGCTATAGATCAATGTTCCTATACTCTTTTTTTAATTATACAGGGAGTTAAACTTGATACGATTTTCAGGTAATATTGGTTATAACTTTTTAAATACCCAGTATAACGTAATAAAACTATACAATGTTGTGATGTGGAAGTGAAGCAGATTTCAAATTTAAAATAAAATACAGGGTGTTCCGTTTAAAAAACATAAGTTTGGCCTGCCACCATCTTATGGAACACCCTGTAAGATTGTAACTAATTTTAAAATGTGGAGTTTAAAGCTGCCTACAATTTTTGTTAATAACTTTTTTTTGTAATTTTTACTATAACAGATCTACTGAGCTTCCTCATCCTAATCAATCACCCTGTATATAAAATATAACAATACACAATAAATGTAATATCTAATGTGATATTAAGGAAGTAAGTCTAGTTAATTATCCTGTATAGTAGTGTCGAACCCCATATTGTAGGAACAGGGATGATGAGAGAAATCTAAATACGAGAAAATATACAGGATGTCTTATTTAAAAAAATTGTATCATAGCTTTAACTTGTAGTTATTAATTACTCTGTAGAATTCGAGATATTTTCCAAGCCTTGAGCATATCATTGCCTATATTTTGTAGTATGATATAGAGAACTTACAGAATACATACACAACAATATTTTCAGTTCACCAAAAACAGCATATATCGCTATAAACCTTTCCTGTCTTTGATAACTAACAAACCATCGTCATCTGATTGATCAGGGAGGGGTACTATAGATAAGAAAGAACTTTCTTCTCAAACGTACATTTTTATTAACATATTTAAACAAAATACAGGGTGTTCAAATTATTTTTATCGGTTCCGCAGCGAATTATATCCACTAACACCCTGTATAATGTGATATTTGACTAGTGATTTATTTTGTATTTATCATATGTTTTATAACTTAACAAAACGTATGTTTAGACTGTTTGCAAGAGTTGTTCATCCACTGCATGGACTTTTGGGTAAGACTTATAAAAGGTTTTACAAAACTCCGGTAATTGGACACAAATTAACGTCAAAAAGTCAACTGTCATATTCCAATTTTATTTAATGAAATAATTGTAGAATAAGTAACTAAACGGATGACAATTGATTTATTTTGATGGGACAGCTGTCAAAGTTGATGCAAGTGTGTAATTGCCGCTAGTTTGTCAAACTAGTCATGCGAATTCGATTGGAGCTCGATTTCTTGATCGTAGCCGTTCAGAATCTCTATGTATCGATATTAAATTCGCTGAAAATCCATGCTGGCGGATACCTACACGCAATATTTTTAGTATTAATGTTTTTTTCTGTTTGACTGATTCCTTATTGCTTGTGAAATGCGTCATTTTTCATAAGAGTTGTTATAGTGCATATTTGTATATATTCAATAAATATTTAAGTTAAATTTGTCTTATATTTATACGAAAAATCGAAGCATTCCGATATTTCGAAGCGTGTATAAGAAATATGCAACAAATTATAACTGAAGAAAAATCAGTAATGTGGATATGTTGGTCTAACAGAAGAAGAAATCCTAGAAAATAGAATTACATAAAAAACAAAGCAGTTTTTTGATAGTTTTTTTATCATGGCAAGATATTTGATAAAATCTGTGAAAGTAGTTTTAAAACAACCGATTTTTCTGACACAAATTAAATAACAGAAATGATATAAGTTTAATTTCCTATATCTGATCGTTTTAAATTGTTAAATGCCCTATTATAAGCGTTCGATTTTGAAGGATAGCAAATATACTTGACATTTATGGCTGGATATTAAAGCAGGAAAAGGCCTATATGAAATCATGTAAGAAGAGTGCGCTAACCTGTACATTCTGCTAGTTGATTTATTTAAAAAATTTCTTTAGAATTATGATATGTGTCATAGAAAGCCTACTCATTATACTTATATGCCCATTGAAAAGCTTCTCGAATGTTCAACTGGCGAAAACTACAGGTAAGCTCAATACAAAAATCAGTAGAACGTTTAAAAATCGTCCCGCCGTTTTTAGGTCGATTCAAACTATAGGTAAATTATTATTGCCCACTAGAGATTTAGAATCAATTAATGGTTCTACAATTTCGTTGGATTTTGAGAATTCTACAACAATACCAGGTGACCAGACATACCTACATATTTATGGACATCTCATTTCTAAGACTATATTTAAAAATTACATAGAAGTTCAATTTTGGAAAGACATGCAATCTAAAATGGAATTAGAAATGAGAGATAAACTTTTAAAAAAGATAAATAATAGCTTTTGAGTCATTTTTTTTAAACTTCCCAGAATTTTTGATTTTATCCACAGCTACTATATCAAAACTATTTTCTATCTGAAGCTGCTGAAGTTTAAAATTTTGTTTGGTCCGTACGTCGTAGCTTAACGTCAACAATAATGTCAACATGACCAATGACATTTAGAAGTGGAAACAAATTTTTAACATTCCAATCCAACCAAATATAATAATAAATTCCATGTATTTTTGTCTGTAAACGCTCAGTTCTCGACGAGAAAGAGTTTCGGAAAGACCTTCTACATCATAGTTCATTAAAATCAAAGAAACGTTCACATTGTGTGTAAATATGGCATATATGGATTCACTCCCTGACGAAGTATTAGAATTTATTCTCTCCCTAATACCACCCTATAACGATCTCCACGATTGTATGAGGGTCAGCAAAAGGTGGAGAAGATGTGTCCTAAGTAAGTATAATCATTTTTCTTTCGAATTATTTTTAGAAAAGGTCTTTGTTCGCGCATATAAGTTTGATGACTTTTCCAGTTTTTTTTTTGGAGTTTTTGCCAAGTGTTTTTAAGATTAATGTGATTCACATCCGGATTTATGAATTCAGGAGAAAATTTAGTGCGTCACCTAAGAAAAACATCATTTTTCACGAATTTTTATTTGAAAATGTCGATTTTACAATATATTTTTTCATAGCAAATGAGAATTTTTCTGTTAGTCACTCAATGTATTAATCATGTTGAAACGATTCTACAAACAAATTTTTGCAAAAATTTCATCAAATTCAGCCTTTACTATTACTTGATTTTTGTTAAAAAAACTGAACTTCTCAATAATAAATAAACATCTTGTCTACAAATTTTTATTTAATATGGTAAATCATTATTATCAAATAGGTTATAAATTTCATAAATATAATGAGTTTAAGAGATATATTATAAGAGTAATTTTAGTTCGGCTAATGGATTAAATCCACAGTCAAAAGAAACCAACAGCATACACAAGTTTTTATTTAGGTTAATATATTGCTTGTAATGATTTTGTATTCTATATTCAAACTCTATTACCCTTTTCATATTTTAAATTTGGAAAATATCCTTAAATCCCAGAGAATTGTTTTAATATAGTTACTTGTTTTTTATTTGATATAAATTTCATTTTTTTTTTAATAAATGAAGGTTATAGTTGTCGAAATATTTCTCCAAAGTTATGTTTTTCTTTCAACAAATAAAATAAACAATAATATAGTAGGGAAAGTACATTAAAAATGAAGATATGGTCAGAAAATTGGTCATGTTTTCCAATGTATACAATAAACAAATTGTGCCATTAAAATATTATTAGAAATGTCTTCTATTGTTTAGATGTGGTCAAGCAGAAGCAAAGAAATCTGTACAGGGCAATTTGTGAGTTTGATGTAAGGTGGGAACGTTTAACACCTGCCGAAATGGCTCCCACTATATCTAAAAGATATTCACATACAGCAGTCGTCCATGATAATTCTATGTTTGTTTTTGGCGGTGAGTATTATAACTTTTATTATACAAATGAAAATTCTTTTGTCAATTAACAGTAATATTTCACGTTGTGTGCTAGAGGGCAAAATGAAAAGAACATTATTGTAATTTTTTCTTTAATTTCAGAGATAACTGCATCTGTTAAATGATTCTCACAAACACTAATTAAAAAAAATTAATTACAGTATCTTCGAAAGTGTTGTCTACATATCTATTTAAAAATAATCATGTAAATCTTTTAACATACATTTTGTAAAATCATTTGTCATTTTCTGAAATCTTTACTCTTCTTTGTTCTAATTACAGATTTCTGACTTAAAAATACATACAGTTTAAAAATACTTTGTTATTTTTATCATCTTCAGTAGGTTTAAATATGGAAAAATATATTGAAGCTAAAAATTCAGTGGACATTTCTTACAAAAAATTGACCGCTCGTTCTTCTGCCATACTCAGAATTTTCCTACATCTAATGGTTTGTGAGAAAAATTTCCATTTTTAGGTCTATATTTGCTGAAAAACTGGAAAATTTTTAATTCGATTTTTTCTCTTTTCCGCCAAATTGGGGTTAAAGGATCAGGCTAAGACACATGTTTGTAATAAGCTGAACCAAGTGCATGTAACAAAACATAAAAAAAAAATTTTAAATTAAAATTTGGAAAAAATTGTCAAAGAGGGTACCCTTGATGACTTGTACAACATGAACTGATATAGTTCATGTTGTCCTAAAATTTTTACATTTGCAATAAATTTTACATTTCTTGTTAATTTTATCATCTTTTAGAAAAAGCAAGGTTCTATGGGCTTTAGGTTTGTGAACAGAAAGTAGTCACATGTAGCTAAATATAGCTAATACAATTGGAATTCATGTAATTATTCTGGTACAATTCTCCGTTTTCTGCACTGTTTTGATTTTCCTTCCACTACAAAGTCTTGAAATTGACCATAGCTTGTGATGTTGTTAGATATTAGATGTTTAATTAGACCATTATATGTTTTATTAATGATATGTACTCTTCTCTTAACTTCTTCACTGACATTGTTATCTATGGTAACTAGTGAACCTAGATATGTAAAATTTTTCACGCTTTCGATGTTATAGTCTCGTATTGTCAGATTCTGTAGGCTTCTTTGGCCTGGAGGTCGATTTGCTGGCCTTCATGTATTGTGTTTTTATTTCGTTAATTTTTAGGCCACTGTTTTGGGCCGCTCTTTCTATCGCATTAAATGCTTCTATCATGTAGCTATGATATCAACATCATCTGCAAATGCCAATATTTGTATTTTTTTGTTATTATTGTTCCTCTGGTGTTGTTTTTTGACTCTCTAATTATTTTCTCTAATGTGATGTTGAATATAATACAGGATATGGCATCTCCCTATCGTAGGCCCGTTCTCACATGGATTATATCTCTTAGTGGGTTTTGAATTCGAATTTTGCTTTGTACTTTAAGTGTTTCTTTTACTATATCAATGAGTTGAGTTGGAATATTAAACTCTTTCAGTAATGTGGTGTCTTTTGTCAATGATGCCACTCCTGGTCCATCCCATTTCCTGCAGAGCTGTTATATCTGTCACATCTATTCAGCTTACCGAGCAGATTTTGGAGGGCTTCCGATCTGTATAGGGATCGGATGTTCCATGTCGCGATTCCTAAATCATGTACCTTTTTCTCGCGCAGTCTTCGTCGTTAGATCAGTTCGGTTTTCTTTCCTTGAACATTCGTAACTAACCCCTTTTCGGAGGACCATTTCTCCCTTCCTCGTCGGCTCTGACCCTACTTTTCACTGGGGTTGGTTACCCAATCTCCTGTAGGGTTGCTCAGGTTTGCCAGGGCCCACCCGTGTCACACTTCTTGGAGGTAAGGATAGGAATTGAGTAGGAGTGGCTAGAGGTGTTATCAGGAAGCAACACCTTATATTGCACATCACTACTCCTTTGGACCCCAAATGTAATATATCAGACCATTTAAATACACTGTTAAAAATGATCAAATCTTACTGCTGATAGTAGACCTCCCGTAAAATTATGCCTCCCTTTTAGGAACTAGCTGTACATTAAATGCATTTACACAAAAACTACCACTAGACAAAGGACAAACAGTTTAAAATTATTTAAATATAATTGTAGGCAACGCCAGGAGGCAGACTTTTTATCTTGCCTACTACAGAAAGAATGGCGTTTTTTCTCCTAATTAAATTTATTACGATTTTCAGGTTGTACTTGTGCAATGACAACATTCAACGACCTCTGGCGCTTAGATTTATCCAAACGAAGATGGATCCGACCCCTGGCTACCGGCACCTACCCCTCGCCGAAAGCTTGCAGCTCAATGATTCGCCACAAAGACATGCTCATTCTGTTCGGCGGCTGGGCCTATCCCCCTTCTTACCCCTTGTACCAGAGCTGGCATTTATTCAACGAACTCCACATCTACGACATCAAGGCGAACCGTTGGAATTCGGTAACGTCATTGAATACTCCTCCACCAATAGCAGGACATTCGGCGTCTATTTTAGGAGATTGGATGGTTGTGTTTGGTGGTCTACAGAAGCCTTGCAATGCTGTACATTGTGAAAAGTCGAACGATGTATGGAGGGTGAATTTGAATACATGGAATTGGCATAAACAGCAAGTTGAGAGTGAGTACTAAAGTAATTCTATTCTTATTTTGTCGCAGGTAAAAATTTTCGTGTCTGCAATAATAAATTTATTATAAGTTTAAATTTAACGTTACATTGGTGTCAAAAGTGTATTTATTCATGTAAATAATTTATAAACTAAAAATAGATTGTAATTACTCAAATAAAACGGCCGAAATATCCCTGGAATGTGAATTCTATTAGTCAGGGAGCTCGCTATACTGTACTCCTTTTAGCTCTCACCCACATTGATAACCGATCCAGAGGGACCAGATCAAAAGAGTCTCCTTACCGAAATAGAGTACGTTCCAAAAGTCTACTAAAGTATTTTCCACATAAGAATACGGAATATTTATTTAAACAGTGAATTTATTACATGTTATGTAACAATAAAACACTGAAAACTTTTCAATTATTACATGTTAATTTTTTTTAATTTCTTCTGACGTATCGTATTATGTAGGTTTGCCCAATAATCAAAGTTATGCTTTTAAAAGAACATATTATTTGAAAAATAAAAATAAGGAGTACCATGTGCGGAGCACACTAGTTCGCTCCCAAGGTCAAAAAACTCTCTTAATTGCATACTAATTGGCTTCGAAAACCATAACCTAGTTCGCTGCAGTGGTCAAGCGGATTAAGTATTTATCTATTAAGTTCTAGGAAAATTAACACCAGGAAAATAGGTACTGCGGCTTTTGTATTTTATATTAGAAATTATATCAAATATTGGTAGTTACATATTTATATAAATACAGTGATAAGCGCGCTAATAACCATAAAAATAACGCAAACGATGGAAAACATATGAAGTTGTAAGATAAAAGAGATGAAACTAGTAGAGATGAGAAATTTAGCGATAGAAATCTATAAATTTACTTTATATTCACCATGGACGTATAAACACAGATGGACTCAGTTAGTTACATAAAATTGTGAAGTCAAAATTATTTGAATAGGTCACATTCTCAACACCTTCAACTGTTGTCACGTTTTGTTTTAAAATTTCTTATTCGCGAGTCGCTGAAAATATTACTCCGTATTTTATACTCTACAGGTGCTATCAAACCAAAATAATAATTTATTGGTTAGATTAATATATTTAATTGTAATCAAAATGTAAAGTGTGCACATAGTGTGCATTATCATTTAATAATAGCGTATAATAGATATCAATCAATTATTTTATGTATAGAAGCACTGAAAACTATTTATAAATGGCAACGGTTGTTTACATTTCTCTGTCTTATGGATCTACGTCAAACTTCAAATTCTGTTCCATGTTTGTTTACTTTTTAGTAAAAGTTGTTTTTCGATATTTTGGCTGTATTTTGAGTGATATTTGTGAAAAGTGAAATAAAATAAACGAAATATTTACATCCCGATCTCTCATTTCATTTGTAAGTACATACAATTTACATTATTCAAGATGAGGAAATGAGGAAGCGTGTTTGTTTACATTTTAATAGGCGTACCATTGGGTTTATTCATGTTCATTAATGTATTAAATAAGATATAAGTTCATGAAATTAGTAGATATTTTTAAATTGTAAAGTAGACATCATCTGATTAAAAAAGATCTATTTAGTACCTTTTTAATCTAATATTTCTCATTTATTTTTCTATGTAGGTTTCCACATAATATTGACGATCGAACTATTTTGGTAGCAAATTTAGGAGAAAACATAAAGATTTTTTATTGTAGCATTATTTTGATACCTATTAAAAATTAACTTGAATTCAACTATATTTTATTGTATTAATTTTAAAGCAAATAAAATTGTACATATTTTAATTTTTCTATAAAGACGTGATTTGTTAATAGTTAAACTCTCGTTTTTTTTAATTCTTTGAACGTGTTTTTATACATTATTACTACTTTCACTTTTTAAAATCTGAATAATTACCCGCGAGTAAAAATTCAAGCACGCTTATGCTCATTGCGGAAGCATCACATTCTATCGAAGCTTCAAAACATTGTGTGTTAAAGATATCTTATTGCTGTGTCCATCTATGTTTATACGTCCATGGTATTCACTGTTTCCCACCTTTAGACGTATCAGAGGAGGATGTCAACTAAAACTGCCACTGTCACAGCGGTAGTTTCCAAACTCTTACGTCTAAAGGCGGGAAACAATAAATGAAATGTAAATTAAATATTGACACCAATAGCCTGATGTTGCTATAATGTTAAAAGGAGAAAGATGATATTAGGTGGCATAAGATGTCCTCTCTCAGTCGCAAAATATCTTAATGTGTAAAAAATGATTTGTGTGTCGGAAAATATATATTTTTTTATAAACTTTTATTTAAAGGTGGACCGAAACCAAACGGTAGATTCGGGCAGACACAAGTGATTATAGATGATGAAAATTTACTGATCCTGGGAGGCTCCGGTGGACCAGCGATCCAACATTACGACTGTTGGATATTGAATATGACGGGAGATGTGTGGAAATGGAAGAAAGTCGAGATCTTAGGCAAAAATAATGAACCCAACAATATATGGAGCAACCCAGGATGTAAGGTATGCAGACAATTACATATATGAGGTCGTTCTTTTTTCTACTTCGGTATCTTTTATTTCAGATTGGTGATAAAATAGTAGTTTTAAATAGAATAAAGGAGTCAGACAAATGCCATATAGCATATTATCCTAAGACTACATGGAACTTGGACAGCAGAACCGCTCCAGAAGATAGTCGGTTGTCTAGGATTGACTTGGCCAATAGGGCCACCGATAGGGACGAAAACGTCAATGGAAGGAGAGGAACGTTGAGGAATCAGAAGAGAGAAGTCGAAGATAGTGATAATAACGTTGCAAGCACTAGCAGCAAGTTAAGGGTGAGTAATGTTACATAAAAATTCTTTTTTTTTTTATTCAAGCAATATAATAATTATTCTTTTATATGATTCTTTATAAAATTCATCAATTGGAAAAAGAGTAATCTTTTCGAAGCGAATCCCGGAGTGACACATCTCGTTTTGTGTCAGTTATTTACTGTTCTCTATTGTTTTCTATCTACAAAAGTGTTAATAAGAAACTCAGCAATTGTCTCTAAAACGGTTTTTTATTTCCTGGACTTTATACATACGCATATTATATTTACGGGGATATGTGAGTTTGCATTTTGATGACGTCATGGTCGCCATCTTGAAACTTAAGCCAGCAATAACCTAGTAGCAAATAAAAGTCTGTATTGAGGGTACGTCGTCATTAATAAAGCGCGGGAACAAGAAATAGTCCCAATGATGTAAATCTGGTAAATACGGTGGTCGATTAATTTGTACCAGATTGGTGTAGTTTTTTTTTGTGGTCGATCGCCTTCTGAAAGCGTACGTTGTTTTAATGGAAGAGAATATTATTACCAGCAAACCAGAGCATTTTTTCTAAAAATCTGCATTCAAACAGCCCAACAGAGCTCCATAGTTATTGCTGTGCGGTTTTTCATATAATGAATGCCAATAACATCTTTAACATTCAATAAAATAGTCGCCATCTTCTTTACAGCCGATATGATAGTCTTGTTATCATATCGAATATCATCTTCGAACAGGAAATAGTTCGAAGGGTCTAAATCTGGTAAATAGGGTAGATGGTAGAGTAATTTGTACTTAATTTATGTAGTTTTTTTTGTAATCGATCGTCTTCCGAGCACGTACGTTGTTTTGGTGGAATAGAATATTATTACAGCAAACCAGGATCTTTTTACCAAAAAGCACCTCTAAAACAGTCCAACGCAGCTTTATAGTGAATGCGGTATGCGTTTTCATATAATTAATATTAATAACACCTTTTGCTTTCAAAAAAAGTCTCTATCACCTTTCCGGAGATAGGATAATCTTGTCGATCTGTTGAACTTGGCCGCTTTTTTCAAAGTTTTGATTGGTACTTTGTCTCCACTGTGGAGAGAGTTCTGTACCAAGTCTTACTCGTCTGTAGTCATAAGGACCTAAATCTGGTAAATACGGTGATAGTGGATTAATATATACCCGTTTGGTGTAGTTTTTTTAGCAAACCAGAGCTTGTTTTCCTAAAAATCATCATCCAAATACTCCAACAGAGCTTCATAGTTATTACTGTACGCTTTTTCACATAATGAATGTTGATAACACTTTTCACATTCAATAGAATAGTCACCACCACCTATCCGGCCTATATGATAGTTTGAACCTTTGTGGCTTTTTTTCAGAGTTTTGATTGGTATTTTGTCGCTAGTGTATAAAAATTCTGTGTAAACTGCTTTCTTGGTACTCCACTATGTGGAAAATTCTGTGGAAAGCTGCGTTTTTTAAAGCACGAGAATAGGAAATAGTCACAAGGAACTAAATCTGGTAAATACAATAGTAGTTGATTAATTTGTACCACATTGTTGTAGTTTTTCCTGTGATCGATTTCCTTTTGAACATGTGTGTTATTTTAGTGGAGAAAATGTTATTAAGAGTAAACCAGGGCATTGTTCTTAAAAATTAGCGCCCAGACAGTCCTATAAAAGATGGTAGTTATTGCTGTATGCTTTTCATAATGGGAATTACACCTTTCGCTTTCAACACAACAGCCACCATTGTATTTTCGACCAATAGGATAGTCTTGTCATACGTATGTGAATTTTTGTCGCTTTTTTCCAGTCTTTTGATTGGTACTTTGTTTCCACTGTGGAGAGAATTCTATACCAAGTCTTAGTCGTCTGTAGTCCCAAGGACCTAAATCTGGTAAATACGGTGATAGTGGATTAATATATACCCGTTTGGTGTAGTTTTTTATCAACACTCTTATCGTTATTGTCCTTTGTGCTACCCACTTGTCAAGATTTTCCTTTAGGTCTCCTCTGGGGGCCCTTATTCTCTCCAAGTTACCAAGCCAGGCTAGTCTTCATGGGCCTCCCGTAAATAATTCCAATGCATTCTATCTTGAGCACCCTGAATCCAGTTGTGCTGAATGTGCTTGATGTCATCTGACCACCTTGTTGGAGGACGTCCTCGATTACGATAAGAATCTGGCAATATGCCCCGTCCAATTCCATTTCAATGTTGTAATCCTTTGAACTGCGTCAGTAACAACAGTTTTTCTCTTAACTATTGTATTTGATACTCGTCTCTGAGGGATATATTCAGCATTGACTTCTCCATCGCTCTCTGTGCCACTTGTATTTTATTGATTACTTTTCTGGTAAGGGTCAATGTTTCTGCTACATACGTGAGAACTGGGAGTACACATTGATCAACTACCTTCCTTTTCAAGCACATGGGAATATCTGATCTAAAGACTTCTCTCAGTTTTCCGTGAGCCGCCCATGCCAGTCCTATTCTCCTGTTTAGCTCCGTTGTTTGATTATCTCTTCCTAATTTAATCTCGTGGTCCAGATATTTATAGCTATACACCTGTTCAATTTGCGTGCTGTTAGTTGAGATGTTTTTCGCAGTACCAAGTTGGTCATATATTGTGTTTTGGAAAAATTAATTTTAAGTCCCAACTCTTGTACACGAGCTCTGAAGGTCTTGAAGAAGCTGGCAGGCATGATCTACTCGGTCTGCAATAAGGACTATGTCGTCTTGACACCAGTTACGTCTTGAACAGCGTCTTTTTTGTTAGTGAGGATAAAGTCACTTTAGTTCTTGTTCAAGCCATTTGGTGATTGCAAAGTCCACTTTCTTTGGGGGCTTTTTTTTTTTAAAATGGGTGTTCATGACATATAGTATGTGTTGCAGAAGAAATTCTATAAGAGTTTCTATAATGTTCTCACCTATAAACTCTTGTATTACAAGATAGTACAGTGAGCATGGTGGTGTTTATATCACTCATCAGTTTTTTGAAAAATGCGTTAACCTTTAATTAAAACCATTCGTTTTTATTTCTATTTAAAACCTTTTTTCGCAACCCTGGTATAATTCTATTCTAAATATTACTTTTTAATTGTTTAGATACAAAGTCGGCCGACGACATCCACCATCAACTTGACTGCATTCAACGGTCTAGACTCCCGGCAGCAATACTCAGAAATGATGCGAGAAAAACGCCTAGCTAGTTTACTCAAAGTCGAGGAGAACTTCACGAAAGGCGCCTATAAAAGAGAGAAGAAGACTCATTACCTAGGAGTGTACACGTTAGACATTTCTAAAGTATTAAACGACCCGCCTACAGCCACTTGGATACCACCGAAGAACATTAAAAACGGCCCAGAGGAAACTATATTGTATACTTTGGTGGAAGGCAAATCGGAGCTTATTATGTTCGGAGGTATACAAAAAGAGGCCAGTTGCATAGGTTTTTCCCAAAATATGAGCAACCAGATATCAAACAGCCTGCATTTCATCACGGCACCTAGCTACGTTATTTAAAAACACATTCGGTACTACCCCGGTATTCAGTGTGCACAGTGTTGCAAGCTGTGCAGATTTTGAGACTTTATCGATACTCCTAGTGTTCAGCGTTTACAGTTTTACCAAACTTTTAGGGTTGGGATTCAAATTGTAGTTTCAAAAAAATGCTAAAGGTGCACAGTGAGTGATATAGGAATTCTTTTTTATGAGAAACTTGCTCAAAATATAGATACAAGCCATATTATTTTTAAGGGATGAGTGAAACAAGTGCATGAATCTTACAATTTGCAAAATTGTGCTATTTTTTCACCATTTGGACCCGAGTCTTCCTGAAGAGCTTCTGTTTTTGTCCAGTACATTCCTACAATTTTTTTAAATCGTCAGAACGACCTATTTCGGACATTTCTCCTCTTCTTTTACCTTTTCTTTATGTATTATGCATTTCCACCACTTGCTCAGTTTTCTTTTCATCCGATAATTCAACTTTTTTTTATATCCGGCTCGAGAGACCAATGTGTCAATTACAGATGTTGACCTAAGATTTTAAATTGAAATGCAAGTGACCGATGGACGGCAAAATTCCTCGTTTAGCAAAAAATACAAAAGCTTACGAATTCCAAGCTTCATCCTCTACCTTGCATCTAGTACTTTTATTATTTATAGTGTTTTGAAGGCGTCTTCCAATGATGTAAACAATTCTGGTTCTGTAACATCCTAGTTATCTAGTTTTTATGTATATTTAAGTCCAAACTGTATTCTCTCTTCTATTTCAGTCTTCTTTTGCTTCTGAATGGTTATAGCGTCCCAACATATGATTCTAAATTGGTATTCCACTTCAATCTGTCTTTTCCACCCTTTTGTGACTTGTTTCTTGCAATTTACACATTTTTATTTGCAATTATTATTAATAATATTACTATTTAAATACAAATACCTGCACACAAATAAATACTGTATTATATTGTATAATTGTATTATTATCTATCCAATTTCAAATTATATTTTAATATTTTAGAAGATTCGTACAAAGATATAGTAACTTACTAGAGATTTCAATGATGTATTACTTGCAATATGTTACCATTTAAAATTATCTGCACACACTGCAGTATTATTTACTCTCCTTAATAATATTCCCTTTCTTGTTTTTGTTTGCACATTAAGAAATTTTTTCTTAGATTTTTCGAAGAACTTTATTTACTGTAACAACGAATATTTTTTATTTCAGAACGTACTATGGAATTATACAACTTGTTTGGTTTTTGAGTTCTCTCTTAAATTTTGTGTTCTCTGTTAACTGTCTCTTGAAACTACTTGTTACACTCATAGTATGAAGCTCATAATGAATAGCAGTCAATAAAATAATGTGTATATATATATAGTGAAATGGATTTGTAGGACTGAAGTGGCAATACAAATCAAATCTAAAGAATTGATTGGTGGACCGCAACAATGTTGTAAGCGATAGAAATGAGATTGTGCAAGAGATGAAAAAACATATTGACAAGTTAGTTGTGAAAATAAGCACTGAAAAAAATCAATTTCACTTAACAAGATAAAGTTATAGATGTGTAAACAAATTTCAGGTTTACACAGAGTAGGCAGAAATAAATTATTTCGAAAAAATATCCCAGCAACAATGTTGTATATACTGGATATATAACAGTGTTGCACCTGATTACTATGCGATGTTTTGGCTTATTTAGGTTTTGAAAAAAAGTATCCAATATTAATAATAAACTATAATCAATTCAAAATGTTTATTAATATGTTTTATATGCTAAGTCCACAGTTTAATGCTCCTTAAGTTTAAACTTAAAAATAATGTTCCATCTTATTCTAATCGTTCAGTTCATAAACCTCTCGGTATTCGGGTTTCAGGTACTGGCACATATCCAGTAAATTTTTGCGTTTTTTTTTTCTTTTATTTTAATAGGCCCGGTATACGCATTCGGCAACGCATCAATTTGGTAGTTGAATGTTCTGATGGCTTGTGCACCCCATTTTTTATTCACAAGTGATAATGTTTGCCAAGATTGCATGACGTTGTGAGAAGTTCTAGCCATTATTCTCGTAGGATCATCGCTGTCGAATTTGAACCAACGGTACTAAGTGATCTTACATTTGGGATCGTTCCATAAGTAATTCTGACATGCTGCAAAGTCTTTGAAGTCTTTTTGCTTCATGTAGTACACATTGAAGGGCTTGCTGGGACATGAGTTGGCAATCACTGCCACTCAGTCGAAGGGTACATTCACCATTGCTCTTTTTTCTTTCTTTCTATGAGCGAGAAGTCACGGTCGCAAGGTAAGAAGCTGTGACCGTAAGTTAAGAAGTTTTGTTCTACTTGAGTGAACTATCAATTCACAATCAGCAAACGGAACAAGGACAGCATTCTCCAGTTATTATTCTAGCTGGCGCATCGCTCAGACCAGACTATGAGTTTTTTTATTTCTCCTAAGTTTAATGGACGAAAGTTAAGTTTTATGTACCACAGGAAAGCTGATGTGAGATCTGTAGAACCAAGATTACCAATAGATTCATGGCACAACATCATAGTGGCATCGTGAATATCATAGTAGGTGGCATACTGAAGTTGGTAGAACACTGATGAATGAGTCATGGGACAGTACAACACTTGCTGAAGATCATTGAAAAGCACGAAGAGTTGTGGATTAGCCTTTTCAGCATCCAACTTCAATGCTTTGTATCCAGCCTCAGCACCTGCATGATGGAGTTCATTGTCAACAAGAAAATCATTTCTTTTTGGACCGTCTGGAGTAACCACAAGCTTGATATACATTTTATCACAAAACGTACACGAATCTGAGCGAGGGAGACCAAAGCACAGATTAAAGTCTGATTGAAGTATGTCAGTGTAAGTGCGCCGGGAAACATTGCATTGCGGATACTTTTCACGAAACAGTTTCTACGTTTTTTCAAGTTTAATTCAGCAGGAAGGCAGTTCTTAGTAGATGCAGCGCAACTATAAGGTTTTCTTGATGTGGAAACGACTTTATGTATTCTCTTATACGTTCTTTGTCGGTTTAGTTGATTTTATTAGGCCTATTATTTTGTTTTCCACGTTGATCACGTAGCGGCACATCTGTTTTTATCTTCTGCTGAATGTGTTGAATTCTTCTAGGTGGTATTCAAAATGCTTGACATATAGTTTTTTGGCACACTGGTAATTTCTTCTGTCCAATCTGTATGTGATATCGTACAGTACATTGTCGTCTGGAGTCCGTCTTCGTTGTGGTTCTTGAAGTTCCATACAACTGGTCATGTTCGCAGTTTTTGCATTATAATCCAGCCTATGAAATGTTGTGAAGAGATCTCCAAACTGGCCTTAAATGTTAGCAGCCTCGCAAACAAATTTGCACTTCCATAGTCGCTCCTAAAATATAAAGATGCCGAATTTCATAGGCTCATTACGGACGAGCACAGATCATAACAAATCTAACGACAATGATAAGGCTAAAAAAAAATGCGTTTCCCAATAAAATATACAACAGTGTTGCACTCACCTTGTGTGTAAGGGGTATTGCTGGTACATTCTCGTTTCTAGCAGATACATATGCTTCACCTGCATTTCTCTGACGCTTACGGATGTTTATTTTCCACTGGTTAATATTGATTTTTCGTTTTTTCCCTCTATTTATGTGCAAAAGCGTAGACAGCGACACGTTAACCTCCATTTTTACAGTCATAGTAGTTTGACAGTGACAGTACATACAACGTTTTTGCACGGATACCAACATTGCGGTACCAAAAACTCTGAAAAGACAAAATGTTTTAAGTCAGATTGAAAGATGCTCGCATTGGTCTTTGGATATACAACATTGTTGCCGCCCACCATTCAATTGTTTTGATTAGATTTTAAAGTGGGAAAGTTGCAAATGCTTATATATAAGAAAAATAAAGTAAATTGAAAATTAGATCAAAGGGATATTATTAAAAAACACTTAAAATTAAAAACGCCAACCGTTGATAAAACCTTAGATCTTTCAGCAGTGTATTGGCGTCAGGCCATAGATCATTTTGCAGAAATAAAATGAAATTGGTAAATATGGCACTGAGATCGATTAGCATTTCAAATCTTCATATGCATAAAAGTTATGCATGTTTTTTTTAAGTGATTGGATAGATACATAATATGCTGCCATGTTTTTAGAGTAGATCATATTCTAGTCTATACATTTACCATGGCCATAATCTTCATATTTCGAATTGTGTTGACAATTACCATACTATTTTAGCCTGTCTTTACCATATCGGCCATTTCAGTGTGACATTTGCAAATTTAATACTATTCCAAGTTCGGCATTAGCTGTCTTGGACAATATTTATTATTTTTATTGCTATTTACATCAATATTTCCTTATAAAAGGACTAATATTTTTGCATAAACTTCATTTTTCTGTATGTCAACATTAATATGTGTTTGCCGACATATTTAATGCAGTTTTTGATTTTGTAACGTTTTAAAAACTTCGTAATATCAGTTTATTTTGGGCAATATTTAGTAAGGACTGCATTGTTTTATAAATAAATGTTTTTTATGTGTGTTTTGTTTTATTTTTGTTCAAAAAATTATCCTATTCCACACAATAGTTGCGAATTGAACTGTAGTACAATAAAAAAAACACCAGAGGACACAAAAATGAACTCAATAAGAAGTAAGACACAATAAATACAAAACAGCGAAATTAGTAATAAAGCTCTGAAATATGTAAATTATTAACATGCCAAAGCCATTATACAATAAAAAAAACAGAAAATATTGAAGAAATGAAACAACAATTAAAAAGACGACAAACATATTTTATTATTAGGTAGCGTAAATTTGGCAGAAAACGTTTTTCACAAGCTAAATTTTACCGGAAATATTAAGACAACTTAAATTGTTCTCGAGAAAATAAATTTATAATAACAGATATTGGCTAGCAGTTTTTGGGAGATTTTCACAATTGGTCCCAGTGAAGATAGCCTCAAATGAACTGTCAAAAGCTTCACAGAACGAAAGATTGCGTTGGCAGTGTTGTCATGTCTTGATAATGTATATATGCTTAAACCATACATACTCCAGATACCAGAGAGTATATGGTTTGTGGCTTAAACCACAGAATAATAAACATACATAATTAAGTACGCGCATCTCCTCCGCGCAGACGTTCCGCCATGTTTAGGAGGATTTTAAAGAAATTATGTGGTGTGCATGGAAAAATTAACCAGGTTTATTTGACTTACGGCAATCATAGACATACTATACAATTATATTAACATTGTTAAATATAATAACATAAATATAATATAATTAAACATAAATATAAACAATTACATAACCACACAAATCATATGTCTGTGTCCTCCTCAAAACATGGCGCGCGTGCTGAAAAACTTCAAAGGCGGCATCTGAGAGTGTCCCTTCTGATTGTTTATTATTCTGTGCTTAAACTACAAAGGGAGAAAACTTTTAAAACGTGCATTTTAATTATGTTATGGATTGTGCAATTTTATAGCTTATATAAAACATTAATGAATTATTATTTGTTTATTTTAATATTAATTGCCAGATTGCAACACATCTTTTTAACTTTATTATCAGTACTGACATTTTACTATTTATTTTTAAAATCAGTTTTAAAACTATTTACTTTTCCTTTTTTGGATATTCTAAAGTATTAATTTTTGGCAAAAGTATAGAGAAAGTGCCGATGAAGTTGGCGATAAACGTCATGTCAAATTTTTGTTTGAGGTATTGCCATGTCCTTATGTATATGTTTTATGCCTTAAATATGCTTTGAAAAAGTACATTTTTATTATATTTTATGAAATCGGGTATTTTTTAAATTTATATAAAACACAAATGAATGAATATTTGTGTCTTTTCATATTAGTTACAGTTTGTTATTAAAAAACAAATTATATTTTTCCTTTGGTAGATTCGCAAATAAACTTGGCAATACTGTCAAAACTTTGAAAACACTAGTTGCCAGATTGCAACAGATTTCAATTTTATAACTATTTTCTTATAATTTTGGGATGAAATGGTATCTGAATAAATGCTTAAACAATCAAAGTTAATTTAATTTATAATAAATTAAATTTAAATTAATTAAACTTTTTTTAAAATATTTTAAAGAATGTTTAGTAACATTAATTAATATTAAATCGCATGCTCTTTCGTGATTTATTTGTGATATGGCAACACTGTCAAATACAAATCTGTCAATAATTTGAAGCTAACTTCATTGGCACTTTCTCTATACTTCTGCCACAAAATAATAAACAATCAGAAGGGCCACTCTCAGATGCCGCCTTTGAAGTTTTTCAGCACGCGCGCCATGTTTTACGAGGACACAGACATATGATTTGTGTGGTTATGTAATTGTTTATATTTATGTTTAATTATATTATATTTATGTTATTATATTTAACAATGTTAATATAATTGTATAGTATGTCTCTGATTGCCGTAAGTCAAATAAACCTGGTTAATTTTTCCAAGCACACCACATAAACAACACTAATTTCTTTAAAATCCTCCTAAAACATGGCGGAACGTCTGCGCGGAGGAGATGCGGGTACTTAATTTTCCGGGGAGAGTGGGTATTCTGTTTGTTTATTATTCTGTGCTTCTGCCTAATTTTTAAATATCTTATTGCTTTGATGCATATGTTTCATGTTTCATTATTTGTAATGTAAATTTCAACACTGCCAAACAACAATATATCGTTCTGTCAAACTCATTTGCAGCTATCTTCACTGGGACCAAATGTTTTTATTTTATTTCTACCAGTTTTAAAATCCATGGCAAATTAGTTTAAAATTTAGACAAGGAAATAGTCTTTCATTGTCTAAGGTTTAAAAGTTATGATTATTGGCTAAAAGCTTTCTATATCTACCAATTACACCAAGTCAACAGAATAATCAAAACTATCTTCCAAGTAATCAAAGACACACGTTTACATTTTTTTTTTACCTAACTTCAGGTCATATAAGCGACGCACACACAACGATATAACCTCAAAAAAATTATTTAAATTGTGAAATTTATTTCTATTAAAACTAATTTATATACATTCTAAAGTTAATAAATGGCTTTAACAAAACCAAAGTCGGAGATGTCCTCCGAGGAGCTCCAAGCTCGCGAGGAGGAAGAATTCAACACTGGACCACTGTCCGTCTTGACACAGTCAGTAAAAAACAACACTCAGGTACTCATAAACTGCCGGAACAACAAAAAACTACTGGGTAGAGTTAAGGCTTTCGACAGACATTGCAACATGGTACTGGAAAATGTTAAGGAAATGTGGACGGAGCTACCCAGGGCTGGTAAGGGTCGCAAGAAGGCGAAACCGGTCAACAAGGATAGGTTTATTTCGAAGATGTTTCTAAGAGGCGATGCCGTGATACTAATTGTTAGAAATCCACTTGCTACCGCGAATGCATGAGATATTTAAGGTATTTTTGTAAGATTTAGAAATAAGTTAAATAAATTTGTAATAAATTGGTATTGTTTTATTCCACTGGGTTACCAAGTAACATGTTGTTGGGGCTAAGGTAGAATAAAGCAAAAAGGATATAAATATAATGAAAAAGGCGCATATTCAAAACCATTGTTTTGAGGATGTTTCGCAAGCTCACACTAGCCATTATCAAATCGGATTAGATTTTTTAAGAGAACATATCAACTGGTGGGGTATAAGTAGTTTATAGAAACATATATTAATTCTGTTTCCGAATCAGCTAAAACAAGAACCCTTAGAGATATAAAACATGTATCTAAATGATCTGGAAAGATATAAAGGTTTCAATAATATCTTGTACCAGTAGTGGTTAATACACTCAATGACTTAGTAGACATGGCAAGGAGCATTACAATTGGAAATATGTAATCTTTTATAGAATTTAAAAGATGAATAAGTCCATCAGTAATCTATGCATTGTAATCATCAGCCTTCATACATCACAATCTGAGTAGTTCCTTCACTCGTCACAGTCTGAGTAGTTCCTTCACTCTATCTCTTCCTGAGCCTTCCTACATTTCTTTTAACCTTTAGGTTTGTAGTTATAAACTAGTTTTTGAAACTGCTCATCATTCATTTTATCCAGTATTCTACTATTTTGTCACTAAGGGCTAATATATTTGTTGAAGAAAATGTTTTAAATAAATAATGTTCATATGATTTTTAGAGTTCAGATCTCTCATGAGTGGACTATCTTGTCTAATCTGCTCATTTGTTATTAGTTCAACCATAGTATATCCTTTAACATCACTAAAAAAAATGTTCTCTTGACAATCTGAATTTTACTTTCATGTTTTTTTGTTCAGTCCACATTTGCTGCCATATCGCTTTATAAAATTTTATCTTCATACCTATTCTGATGTGATTTTCTATCTGGATAGAGTCCAATGTAAGACAGGAAAAGGTGTATGTCCAAATATAGATAGAATAAGGCTTCAACATGTTGTTTTTGGTATTTCTTTTTTTTTAATACCATGAAATAGTTTTAAACTAAATTTTTTGGACATTCTTTAATGTCTACTAATTCTTTCTATTTCCTCAATTATTTATTTAAAACAATAAAAACAATATAAAAATTTATCAACAATTTATTAACATACTTTTATAAAAAATAATAGAACCATAAAAGCTAAATGGACAACTCTCTCCTTCATAGAGCCAAATAATCAACTAGCTCCAATTTTCCTGTTAAGTGTTTCAATCTAATTACCAGGTGTTGGCACATTCAACAACAAATTTTGTCCACCGGGCAAGTAGGAAACCTGCCTAGACCTTGATAGTTGGTAAGCGATGTCTTCAGCTGCTTCTATACGTCTCAGTTCAACTAAACCTTCTCCAGCATCGCCAAAAGCCTTGGCTAGAAGCAGAGCAGCTTGAGCATCACCCTCCGCTGAGATTACAGTTGCTTTCTTTGTCTGTTCAGCTTTTTCTACCAAAAACCTTAAAAACAACAAATATATTAGATCTACTTTCAATCAAAAGGCAGAAAATACCAACCTGGCTTTCTCAGCTTCCTGTTGGGCAACTTGTTTCAATTCTACAGCTTGTGTGAATTCCCTTCCAAAGGTTAAATGGGTTAATGATATATCATCCAGGATAACACCAAACTGATTGGCTCTTTCTGTTAAATCTTCACTAACTTTTTGGGAAACTACATCTCTCTGAGTAATCAATTCACTGGCATCAAACTGAGCCACCACAGCTTTTAGGACTTCATTAGTAATTGATGGTAAAACTCTTTCTTCATAATCCTGCAAATAACATTATGATTTCCCTGATATAAAATATTATCAACTTATATATGTTACCTGGCCTAAAATTGTGTAGATTTTTGGTAATTCGTCGGGAACTGGTCTGAAGAGGATACGGAGCGTGATATTTACGTTTTGCAGATCTTTACTCCCTGTTACTACTGGGATATTTCTAGGGCGGGACCGTACATCAAAGATAATAGGTTTCTGTACCCAAGGTATAAAGAAATGTGTACCTTCGCCGATAACTTGTTTCTTAATACCGGCGAATCTGTCGAAAATAACTGCCCTGTGACCTCCATCAACTAAAAATAATACACATTTAGAATAAATTATAAAACTTATGCTAAAACTTACCATTGTACAATGCTGAATTGACTACTCCACCTACGAGTGCTATTCCTAGACCGACTTGGCCGATTCTGTTGAAAATTTGAGCTGCAGACATCTTTACATGTGAAGTTCACTAGGAGAGGTTAAGTTATGTAAAAATGCAAACAAACTAAAATGCTTTTATGGTTATAATCGGTCGAAGATTTCGATGTCTTTTATGACGCAATTTTTAGAGTAAAATATTTTTCAATTTAACAGCTAAATTTATAATAAAAACCTACAAAAATGACGATCAAAATGCCGATTTAGATATATGACAATTGACAGGAAAAGACCAAAATTTTCCTGACTTTTGACATAATTAATTTTTGGTGGATTAAAAAATTAAAACTATAAAACAGATATTTTCAATATTTCCACTTTCTAGATATGATAAACAGTAAATACCAATTTTATTCACAAATAATTTATTATCAATATACAATAAACCAAATAACTAACTAAAATCTACACAAAATATGCAAACTAATTATCAAACGAAGAATCTAAATATTGTGTTGAAATATGATAGTAGTAGTATTTTATTAATATTAAATCAACACTTTTATTTTTTAAATTATTATATAAAAAAGGTTAACTTTATAACTGTATATTTCAATGGTTATTCAGATGGAAATAAGAAGAAAATATAAAGGGTGTATATAACTGACAGCCGTCAAAATTTTTTTAATTTGTCATTAAATTTTGATTATGGCAAGCACATCAAGGTACTGCTATAACTATATTTATTTGTTTATTTTGATAGAAAAACAACACAATTTACAAAGAATTGTATTCTAAACATATGTTAAACTTTTCAGATACGATGCAAATAAAGTTTGCTGTAGTTCCCATCCAGATGCCCCATTAATTGAAGATTACAGGGCGGGAGACCAAATTTGTTCAGAATGTGGCCTAGTTGTTGGTGACAGGTTAGTTTAATTTAAAATTATGTGAGTCTATAATTCGAGATGTAATTTGTAGGGTAATAGATGTAGGTTCGGAATGGAGAACATTCAGTAATGATAAAAATGGAACAGATCCTTCTCGTGTTGGTGGCCCCGAGAATCCGCTTTTGGGAGGATCCGACTTGACCACCATTATAGGACCGGGCAGAGGTAAGAACAAAATTAAATAATGTGCACACTTTTAACATGGAGATGACACATTAATGAATGTTTCAGGCGATGCAAGTTTTGATACTTTTGGTGTATCTAGATATCAAAATCGTAGGACAATGAATAGTTCTGATAGAGCCTTAATTAATGCTTTCAAAGAAATAAACGCTATGGCAGATCGTATCAATTTACCTAGAACTATCGTGGACAGAGCCAATAATCTCTTTAAACAAGTTCATGATGGTAGAAACCTTAAAGGTAAGAACTCTTTAGAGTTAAAGAATTTTTTATAAATCTTAATATTTCCTTGAACATAATGACACTGAACAACTTTTTGGTATGTTTTTAGGTCGTTCAAATGATGCAATAGCATCTGCTTGCCTATATATTGCCTGTCGTCAGGAGGGAGTGCCTCGAACATTCAAAGAGATCTGTGCAGTAAGTAAGATAAGTAAAAGAGAAATAGGGAGGTGCTTTAAACTCATCCTGAAGGCATTAGAAACATCAGTAGATCTTATAACCACAGGAGATTTTATGTCGAGGTTCTGTTCTAATTTATGTTTACCAAATATGGTGCAAAGAGCTGCTACACATATTGCTAGAAGGGCAGTGGAGATGGATATTGTACCTGGAAGATCACCAATTTCTGTAGCTGCTGCAGCAATTTATATGGCTTCGCAGGTAAGATTATGTTGATGGACTTTGTATTTATAAATTTATAGTTTCTTTTTAACACATTCAGCCCCGGTGTTATATTTTTTTTCCATTGGTCAGCATTTTATTTTTTGGTACTAAGACAGGAGTTGTGGATGCCTTTCCGTTAAAAAAAAAAAACATTTGACAATTGAGTTATTGCACAATATTTTTGAGGCATCAAAGTAATTCTGGAGTTGTAATGTTAAAATGGTGTGACAAAAGGGATGTCTTGATGATTACTATAAAGCATGGGGATGAAATGTTGAAACATCTACACAAAGGCAAAGAAATTGAAAAGCCCAAAATGATTGTTGATTACAATGATTCAAAATCCTTTATTGATCTCTCAGATCAGAAAAAAGCATATTCACATTGCTTGAGACAAGGGAATAAATCGTACAGAAAATTAGCCACAGAATTGTTTGGTAATGCCTTGGTGAATGCTCATATGGTATATACACAAGTTACACAAACTAAATTAACTATAACACAGTTCAAAACAGAAGTCACTATAGAATTACTGGGTGAAATGTCCGGTATTGAAACCTATATCAATGATGTCAGTCATGAGCTTGTAGGAGAAAAAACATGTGTGGTTTGCTACGTCAGAATAAAGAATGAATTGGGGCAAAATGAAGCTCAAAACAAGTGTTCTCGTTCTAAATTTTTGTGCAACTAATGCAAAAAACATTATTGTATTTCTTGTTTTTTCTCAACACATAATGCTGTTTTAAAATAATAAGGTGTTATATTATTATAATTATTTTTGCGCATTCTAAATAAAATCTTTTATTTTTTTTCATAAAGTTTTATAATTTCCATATCCTTTGTAAAACTGTCTCACATTCGATCAGGAAATATTATTTTCCTCCTTGGACCACCCTGTCCAACTTACAATGTCATTTATATAGCTGTGGGGCACAGTTGATGCCACGGTGTTCCGAATACAAAACTGTAGTGTGGCATTAGAGTGATGCCTCACTATCCCAAGAGTACTATTTAGTGAGGCATCATATTGATGCCACCTGGGGCTGAATGTGTTCTGAAACTTATTTCTCTTTCTGTGTGTTGTGTTCTAAATTGTATTTATATTTCTGATTTAATTAATTTTTGTAGGCTTCTGAGGATAAGAGAAGTCAAAAAGAAATAGGTGATATAGCTGGTGTGGCTGATGTAACAATTAGACAATCATACAAACTAATGTATCCGCATGCAGCCAATCTCTTCCCACAAGATTTCAAGTTTGCTACTCCTATTGAGCAATTACCACAGATGTAAGCATTCAGGAAATGCCACATATCCAAGTTGAAGGTTCCAAAAAGCACCAAACAAGTCAAAGAGGCAGCAGCATTCATATTTTTTATCCTAAAATTTATTTTGCATATCATCCATGATAAAACCTTATATTTTACTGTCTAATTTCAAAATTCTTAACCACCCCTTCTGCTAGCTGTTTGCATTCATAATGAAATAACTGTTTTATATATTATTAAGAGTAATCCTGTAATTAATGACTTGATTGTAGTTTTTATTTGATGTTATTTTTGTATTAAGGGCAAGTAGAGCTTTAGGTTTTTATTTTTAACAAATATTTATGGTATAAAGACAAGAAATAGGTTTATCACATTTTTTTTTCTTTGGAGATTGATTTAGGAATTGGAGTTTGAGTATTAAAAAAGGATTAGACGCCTTCAAAGCACTGGAAACATATAAAAATGAATTTAACTATGTAAATGTAGAGGTTATAAAAAGAAAGAAGTTTGTTTGGGATTTATGTATTTTTCTCATTAGGGATTTTCAAAGAGCCTTAATTTTATATATTAAATGGTACAATCTCATTCATAAACATACCATTTGATCAAAAGAAAATTACATTTTACTACCATTTACATCTTTCCTAAGTGTATTTTAGACAAATCAGGGCTATATATTTGTAATTTAGCTTGTGATGATTTTGTAGTTAGTAAGGTATCCTGTATTTTTATAATGTTATTGATTTACAACAATAAAATCTTTTTTCGTACTTGTTCGACTTTTATTTTAGGTTAACAACCATTTTTTTAAGTTAAGTTTTTTGGTGGGATTTTAAGTGAGAGCGCCCACCAAACTGGCATGGCAAGTAGCACGCGTCTAGCATGTTATTTAAAATGTTACCAATGCAAATGAATGAATGACTGTCACTGTCATTTTGGTGTGCGCTGAATCATTCATTTTCATTGGTTACATTTTAAGTAACATGCTAGACAACAACAATTATTTTTGCATAAAATGTAACAGTTACGGTTAAATGCAGAAATACAGATAGGCGTTTTCTGTAAGTAAAAACATTCTTCATAAATAAATTCTAACACTCTTAGTACAGACTCAGGAACTCATGGAATTTGGGGTCAGCAGTTCTAGACTTCCATTTTTATTGAATTATAATAACTTATGCTACTACCTGTTTCTTTGTTGTTCACAAATTGTATCAGAATGATAAAAATGTGACGAAATATGTTCAAATTCAATTTTCTTACAGAAAATGATTCTCAATTTTACATAACCTTAATAGTCGTAATTTTGGTTGGATAATTAGTAGTATTCGCGATAGCCAATTCCGACAGGGGCGCTGAAGATTTCAAAGATGGACGATAACTTCGGGAAAACAAATAATTTTGTCATTTGATCTCTAAGCTATAAAACTTTTAATATAAATCATTTACACGTGTGTTTTGCCACAGTAAAAGTTGGAGTACGTTCTTCAAAGTTTATTTGTTTGTGATTCGAGTTTATCCATAAGGTAATTGACTGCCAAACCTGAATAAAAATAAAATTTTGTTTTTCTACAGTATGTCTGAAACACGGGAAGTAAAATTTACATTATCTTAATTATTTATATGGTTGCAAAGATCAAAAGAGATCTTTAGTTGAGCAGTTGATGCAGTTTTTGGAGCTGGCCACGTTATATTTAGTAAATTACGTCTTAGGTTTTGTACTAATAACTTCATGAGACCGTTGGGGCAATTTAGTTGACGGAACAACTTTTTTCTTCAGTCTTCTCATTTTAGGTTCAAGTGTTACTATAAAGTAAATTAAGTATAAATATATTAAAACACTTTGAAAGTAATCGTTCTCAGTAAAATGTAAACTGCACACAGTCATGTACTTGGTTATAGGTTTGTCAATTCGCAAATGCATTGCCAAACTTTTCTCATATGCTCGTCCAGCAGAAACTTATGTATGGATTTTTTTTTGTGAATTATAATAGGATAAGCATCTTGTCTTATGACAGATACACGTAAGAATTGGCCCTCAGTCCCCAGCAGCTCCGGAGTCACCTTCCAAGGCAATGGTAGGATCGAGGAAAGAGCAGAGGGTGCTAAGAATCCCTGGGTTTTAGAAGATTGCCAGAAACAACGAAACTGGATATTGCAACTTATAATGTCAGATCGCTGATGAGAGACGAAAAGCTAGCCGAACTGGAAGAAGAAGTAAAAAAGATGAAATGGGATATATTAGGATTAAGCGAGATAAAAAGAAAAGGGGAAGCCTGTATGTAGTTGGAATCCGGGAATGTACTATACTATAAAGGAACTAAAGAAGAATCATTAGCTGGTGTCGGTTTTCTTATTTCTAATCAGCATATCCATAAGATTAGACAATATATTGGAATTTTAGAAAGGATCGCGGCTCTAATAATGGACATAAATAAAAATATAAGTTTAAAGATCATACAAATTTACGCCCCTACATCATCACATACGGATGAAGAAGTGGAGATATTCTACGAATCATTGACACAAACAGTGAACAAATACAAAAGTACCTACACAATAATTATAGGCGACTTCAATGCCAAATTAGGGAGAAAACTAGAAGAATCAGAAAATAAAATCGGCAACTTTGGATATGAAACACGAAACGAAAGAGGATAAGCATTGAGGAACACTGCAATAGTTGGTTGAGTTTATCGAAAGTACAAGCTGATTATAGCCGCAAATGTCAAATATGGAACAAAAAATTTTAGTACAGCAGTGTTGGCATGTTTTTGTGATGTAAATGCTGTATGTTTCAAATATAAAAAGATATAGCTTTAGAAAAGTACATTTTGTTTATATTATGTCATGAATTCTGCAATTTTTGATTTATATAAAACAAGAATGAGTAAATATTTGTTTCTTTTGAGATAAATTGCAGTTAATTATTAGAAATTGTTTTAGCAATTACCCTTTGATAGATTAGGAGATAGATTTGGCAATCGTCAAATCAGCAGTTGTCAGATGTTTGCAATTAATCTCCAAAGAGACAAATATTTACCCGTATTGCTTCATATAAATTGAGAATTGCGGAATTCATAAAATAGTATAATAAAAATGAACTTTCTAAAAGCTTTATCTCCTTATATTTGAAGCATACAACATATGCATTTTTAAAACATGTCAACACTGCCAAACCGAAATATTTTTGACATTTGCGGCTACATTCAGCTTGTACTTTCGGTAAACTCAACTAGGGATGGTTGGAACAGGGATTTTTCAACAACTGTTACAACCTGTTTCAGTTCCAAAAATTATCTGTTTCAAAAAAACTGCTTCAGTTCCAAACTGTTCCAAGTCTAACACTGTGTTATGGGTTGTTTCAGTACCGGTTCGGTTTGTTCCAGAAAGGTTGTTGCATTAACAATAGACCATTGTATTTCTGGTTGTATATTTTGAAAGTTTGAAGTTTTGTCGCAAGTCGACAATTCACAGTTTACAATCATGGTTTATGCGCATGCACATACTTTCCACTCCACTGGAACTGCAACAACCATATAAAAGCACAGCAATGCAACACCGGTCTCTGAAGTAATTGTAAATACACTGGTCTGTTGTGTAATAAAAAACTGTTATATTGGAACAGGAACACTTATTGATCAATATCTGTTCCAACCTGTTCCAAATAAAAACCTGTTTCGAAAAGAACAGATCCTGTTCCAAAGTGGCATCTCTAAACTCAACCTAATAGTTTTTTGAAGTCGAAGTCATTGTTAATTACAATATAAACCGGTCGCTAATATGTATACAAAATAATGACAATTTCAAAGTTTTCCCGAAGTGGATGCTTTTGAAATCTACCACCAGGCGTCGCCCACTTTGCGGTTCCTCGCGAATAGTTTTTCTGAGCTGTCACCTCTCGCCCCAAACATACTGAATAAATAATAAAAGTAACATTCTCAATCATTCCATTTCGTTCACTCAATACAACACAATAAAACATTTTATTTACTCTAATTATTTATTTTTTTTTTCTTCTTTTTTCGTTTGGGATATCATTTGATTGATTTCTTCCAACGCTTCCATATCCAGTTCCATCTCGGAGTTATCACTGAGTTGTTCCTCATCTGACAATTGAGCAGGCAGCTCAGTTGGTTCCATTTCTGCATCGCTGTCATCTATAAGTGAAAATGTTCATATGAAATATTGTCTATGACAGATTTATATCAAGTTTTCAACAAAAAATTACTTGCTTTTTTTTCATAGAGGGGAATAAATTAAGATGATGAAGTTAAAAGAAACTTTTAATCCTTAATTTTTTTTCAATTTCTTGTTGTTTGAAACTTTCTAAACGTTTGGCTTTTCTTTCCTCAGTTAGTTTAGCTTCCTTTGTGGATGTATGAATTGTTGCTCTGGAATCATCAGTCTTTTGATATTATTGCTACAAAATAGTCGCATTGCTCCTGAAGTGATCCTTTCCCAAGTTAACATGCTCCTTTTCTAACTTGGTTGCAATGCGACCAATTGTGGTAGTACTGTCAGAAGTCCCCGCATTCCAGCCTGGAGACCCTGCAATACAGCTACCTAAGAAAAGGATGACTCAAGAGCAGTGTTACCAATTGTGGCAATAATGTCAGAACACCCTGCAGTTCTAAAGTTACAACTTACACAGCCACGAAGGATTGCGCTACCTGAGGAAAGGAAAGCCAAAACTTTTTTTCTACTGAGTTGCAAGTTTTGCCAGTGTATATAAACTAGACAGATAAACACTATATATACAAAAATAATTTCCACAAAGCGACAAATTGATAAATAAATAGTTCCATTTTCAAAATTAAACATTTACATTTTCTTTCAACACCGTTAATAATAATTTATAAGATAAATTTAAAAAAGAAATCCTATAAATACAATTTTCTTACCGTCCGAGGACAAAACGACAGTTCCAAGATTTTCCCCGACCTGAGCTCCACCTAAACTCCTCTTGAACCCCATCTTCATTTGATTTAACATCCTACTAGAATAAGCCAAAGGATTCTCTTCATCGTCTTCGTCGGATTCTCCTTTTTCTTGTTGTCGTTGTTCGTTTTTTAAACTATAAGCAACCAACTCCTGGTGTACGTTCTTCATCACATATCTACAAAGTAAAATATATCAAGAGGTTAATCGTGTTGCTTATTCAACATTTTCATCTGAGGGACAAATTAGTAAACTATTATACAAAAACGCATACAGTATTGTGCGAATTAATGTGAACAGAGATCAAAATTCAGTTTTCATAAGTTGGCACACCTGCTGTGCCTATTCTGTCAACTGTTTTGTCAAAAAAAACAACATAACCTCAAAACCTTATTAGTATATTGTCCAAAACACGTGCTTTGTGTTTTATATCATTATTATATTTTGTTGTATCTCATGTTATGTGTAAGTTGGTGTTATTTTCATTGAGTTAACTGTGCAATCAGGTTTCACTTTTTAATATGGATATCACTCCTAGGAATAGAGTATATTCCTAGAGTGGAATACTACTCCTCAGAGGAATATTGCACAGAAGTGTTGTGTAAGTTTAGGTGCAGTAAACAAAATAATTAAGAAAAAAAAACAGGGTCAGTTGAAGTGCAGCGGAAAGGAAAATGTGGAAGAAAACGGAAGATTACTCCTCGAGATGAAGCCTTTCTTTTACGCGATAGCAAACTTCATCCCAGAAAAACAAGTTATGACCTCCAGCAAGATTTAAAAAAGGCTGGAATAAAAATTCACGATTCAACGGTACGCAGATGTCTCTTAAAAGGAGGGAGAAGAGCCGTGAGACCGCAGAAGTAACAATTTCTGACAGCGCCTATGATGGAAAAAAGACTAAATTGGGCAAAACAATACGTTCATTGGAGTGCGGCAAATTGGAGAAAAGTGTTATTTTCTGATGACACCCACTTCCTAGTGCAGGGCCAGTGATCAAAATTCGTACGAACGGCAGCCATTGAATCACTTTCAGCTAGCCATATTAACCAAACAGTTAAACATCCCACCAAAAAAATGTTCTGGAGCTGTTTTTCATACTCAGCAACTGGTACTCTTATTCCTATTGAAGGTATGATGAACAGTGAAAAGTACAAAGCCATGCTAGGGCAACGCTTAGCTATAGAGCTTGGAAAAGTACAGGCCGAAAGGCCTGCAATTTTTTAACAAGATTAGGCTTCGTAACATGTATCGAAAGTTATGATGAAATACTTCAAGGATAATGATATTACCCTTAATCCTATTGAAAATTTGTGGACAATATGTAAGGTTAACTGCAAAAATTTGACTGTACGACAAAAACAAAAATGGTGGAAGCAGTGATTAAGGTGTGGTTTAGAGATAAAGCAATCACAAACAAAAAAACTTGTGGATTCCATGCCTAGAAGACTCCAGGAAGCCATAAAAGTAAAAGGGGCACATATTAAATACTAATTATTAAAAAACTCATGTAAGTGTACCTAAACTTACCTTTGGCTTAAATAAATCATATTTACAAATTAATGTTGTTTGTTCACATTAATTCGCACAATAGATACTGTAACCAGGTCGAAGATTCAAATCCGGCTCGAAGGACCAATAGATAAAAATTTTATCACACACCTCAGAATGATGAAAAACGCAAATAATTGTTAACTTTATTTAAAAAAAAACTGAAGTAGACTAACAATCATTCAAAAATGAATTAACACACTGATCAAAATGAATTTTACAACGAATTTATTATTGTGTGGTGTCCTCGTGAGATATGTTTGTCATATTTAGACACCAGCGCAAGGTTTAAACATCAAGTGCAGGAAATCGCAAAGCCATTAATGAGAAACTAGAAAATAAAGTCCCAAAACGGGCTGTAAAGCCAAGGGATGAAAAGTTATAAGCATTTAAAAGAAAAGTGCATAATGAGTTATAGTAAATATCTAGAAAAAAATCCTAAATATGAGTCTCTTTTTCAGTTTCACTACTTCTGATGTAATTCAGGTCTTCCACAAATTTTCTACTAAATTCGTGTCCTTGGGACCCTAACCTTTTTCTTGCAATGTATTTTTAACATAATCTTTAAATCGACCTGTATGTGCTACTTCGAAGAAACATTTAAACAGTTGACAACACTGTTAACGCTTATATTTTCTCTAAGGAAGATACTTGACTCCACAAATAAAAAGATCGCGTTTTGTAAACATGCACTTACTTGTTTGCTATTTCTCGACACTGATCTAAAAAATTGACAGGTAACCAACCATTCTTTACATCCAATTTTGCCTGGGCTTTCGGTAGTCTCTGCATCATCTCCTGAATTTCGGGTATAAGTACATCACAAAACTGAAAACAGTACAAACAAAAAAGTCTTAGAAAAATAAACAAAATTAATTTATGGATCTGAGAAAAGTGTTCAATACAGTATATTGTTACAATAATAAATATGACGTATAAAAACTGTAAATATATTTACTCATTCACGAATGTTCTAGGTCAGATACTACCGAATTCTACAAAAGGGTCCGATAACCAGTTCAGTTACTAAGAATGCCGTCGGCGACGACTCTGAATTTATCAGAATGCGATTGACTTTTCGAGACCTGCTGAATGAGTCACCTAATGGATGTAACGTCATCGGTGCATCCCCAGACTTTTCGAGATATTTTATTTTATATATTGAAAAAGTAGTATTTTGTTAATTTTATTTTTTTTATAATAAATGTTGTAATTTTTGAAATATGTGGTTCGTTGTTTAATTTAATATATACCTCAGCTAGCTCAATTATGTGTTCTAAGCAATCTGTCACTGTGTGACGTCGACTCTGTAGTCTCCTGGTTGAGTTCAAAAAGAAATTAAACCAAAATTTACTTTAGACTTTTGATAAATTAACCCAAATGAACAAATTTAATATAAACAATAAAATTCGTCTGCAACTTGGGTTTCCTTTAAAAATTTACAAAAATAGGAATCGTGTAACTCTTAATGTGGTTTAGTGTCGTGACAATAAAAATTTATTACAAAATGTGGAGACTCTACAAGTACCTAAAAACTAAATAAATATTGCAACTTTATAAAGTGTTTAAATGAACTATAAAGAAAAAGAAACTGAACACTTTATGCCGCTGACTTTAAACTTGCATTCAAATATAATCAAAATTTCAAATGATCCCCAAAATTATTATCCAACCTCACTTTAAAACAGTTCAGATTTCTTTAAAGAAAACTAACTACTCGCAAAATAATCGGTGAAACTGGAATATCAATCCTCTCTTCGGAAGTTAAGGTACGTACTATTCTATTTTTAATTTAATGATCATTAATATTTTCAATTTTTAAGGCCTATCGCAATTATGTTAATTCATGAATTTTAATTTTCTCAATTTAAATGACATTTCTGTACTCCAAAATAATTTATAAGTCAAATTGTTTCTTACTCTCTGGAACAAATTCTGGATATATCTGCTGTGGAAACTGTGGAAAAACTAAATTCTAATTAGACGAGTTAAAAAACACTCCCGATCTATTCCACAGTTTCAGAGCTCCTTCGTCCAAAAAACCTCGTCGGCGTCCCAAAAAAACAATTATCATCCGTTGCTAACAGCAACCAACGTTCTTTTTTTGTCATCTATTTTTTTAAACCATAAAACTGTCCTGTTTGACACATTTGTCAATCCACATTAATTTCTCATAATCACTTTAATCACATCTAATTTGGGAATTTATAAAAAAAAATGTTCAGATATAAAACTTATTCTATTACAATACTAAGACAATTTATTCTTTTCATCTTCACATCATTGTAATTTCTTATTTAACAAAACCCCTATTAATTTAGCTCCCACAGACTTGCTTGACAGTTTATTTCTGACGTTTTTAAAATTTCTATGTTTAAATATTTTTTAAGAATTCTTCTTTTTTGTTCTTTTTAAGGTTTAGACAATTCCAGTATACACTAGGCAACTATACTATTCAGAAATTATTAACACTATACCAGGTAAGTCAAAATTAATTTATTTAACAATTTACTAATCTTTTTCTCTCTTTTATTTCAGAGTCGAACCCACATTGTGATGGCTTCATGAAATTCATGAACAACAAACTCATATAAAAATCCATTTAAGTTGTATCCTTTTTAACATATTGAAATCATTTCAATATAAATACATTTTATATATAAATACCATGGATTTTATTGAGCAGTAATAAGAAGATAAATTCGGGAATCGCGTATTTAAATGTACGTCGTAATAAATTATTGTAAAATAAATTAGCAATAATAAAGACTTTGATAAGTTCGTGAATGTTATATAAATATTGACCCTTTAATAAATTAAAATAAGAACTATAAATTAGAATTAATAAAAATACAACAATATACACACTTAAATAGATAAACAAAGTTAGACTTTCATTCCGCATTCTTATGATAACGTGCACCGAATATCATCAAACTTATAATCTTCTTCCTCAGGTACCGTTTACTTTAAGGAGGTTAGTAACCATCAAGGCCACGTTTACGTATAAGACTGCAGCTCTGAATAGTTCTACAGAACTGCATTTATACCATTTTCTTAAAAAATAGAAGCCACAGTTAGAATGCTATTTTGGTCTTACGGCGCACTGCGATGCCGCTCATGTCGGTACAGTGGTAGGTGTGTGGTAGTTTGGCAATATACTGAAAAATCAGGACCGTACGCGCTTCGTTTCAAAAATCTTTACTCAATAATTTAACTTAAAGAAGAGAATAAACAAAAAAAATTCGACGTAGTAATCAGTGGTTCCTTTCTTGGCCAAGAAAGTTAATTCGGCCCATGCCACAAAACCAGTTTCGCTTCCAGCATGAAGAAAAACAAACCGAGGACCTCTTTAGGTTGGAGCTTTCAGTCCAGTAGAGAGCCCTTTTATGAAGGCATCTCGTGCATTCGTGATCGTTTTGTCCTTCCATTCCTTTTTAACTTAAGCACCCACGTTAGTCCAAGACTGATGGCTATAAGCAATGTTTACATTATCCTTCTTCCTCAATGTTTTTATTTGTCTGAGGTACTTGTGTCTCCAGGATATGATATCTTTTCTTGCCAATATTATCGAATCTCGACTTTTTTTACCATATTCAAAACCCATGCCATTTAGTCTCATGTCACACTACGACATGATTTGATTGATATTTATTAATTCTAATTTATTGTTTTTATTATTTATCAAAAGTTCTATATTTATAACACTTACAACTTAATTTAAAGTTTATTTATACTAATAATTTATCTTACACTGATAATTACATAATTTATTTATACAAGCGTTACATTAAAAAAACCCGCCGCGATTTATCTTCTGACTGATGATGTTTACAACAAAATCCCTCTTTAAATATGAAATACCGTTAGCATGGGATCTCTCGAGAAGCACTGTTACCAATAAAATCAGGGAAAGCCAGGGAATAGCTTATTGTTACGAATAAAAATGGAGAGAGCTAAGATGGTGAAGCCAATATAAGAAATTATGTAAGATGTATGGTTAAATAGAATTTAAAATTAATTAATAATTATTTAAATAAAAAGGTTAAATAAAAAGAAATGTAACCAATAGAGAAGAAAATATAAAATTTACTGGAAGCACTACAATAGAATAGGCTTAGCTCAAGAGAATGAGGGTTGTGCTCAGAGAGGAGGTTGGCACGTTTGCTTGCCTTTAGTAACTTAAGGTTAAATCAGATCAATCCTAAGATGATCTGGCGATGGGCGCCAGGGTGAATTTAGAATATCACTCCAATTTGGGATATATGTAATTCTATACTAACTGAAAATAAAAGATGATAGGAAACAAATGAAAATCTAAAATCACTACATTATAATTGTTAGAGACTGCGAACATCGGCAACGCAGCTTTCCAACCCGATGTGCCGAGGTAGCGACTTCAATTCGAAAGACGAAGAGCTTCACCGACCGCCGCGGTGTGAAGATACACATTAATTCACATTGTAAACTTTAAATAAATAAAACCTTATACGAAAGCGTAAATGCGTTTAATTCGACCAAAAAAAATATACAGTCCACTCATTCATATACAATAATCCTACTGTGCTATACCAACCCTATACTTATATACACTAAATAATTATTAAAATATATCCCCAAAATATATATTTACAAGAAAACAGTTAGTAAAAATATGACCCAAAAAATATATATATCTACAAAAGTTTGATCTAACAGTCCTCTAACAATGAGGAAAAAGGTAAGTTAATAATATTTAAATAACTCATATGGAGTAAACGGTAATTAAAATATAAAATAATTAAATCCTTATACAATTAATAAAGGGCAGGTTAAAAAATCTGAGACTAGTCAGTTAAGACACTTGAACAATTCATACATCAATTCGATATGTGAAAATACATACAAATGACCATCCAATTGGATAATATATCCTGAACTTATTAAGTGTTATGTAAAATATTACTAAATAAATAAATTTAAAGTAAATAGAGACTAAAATTAATCAAGTGAAAGGATTAAAAAAAAAACTGAGGGTACTAACCAGGTATTGTGCACAATGCTGTTTCGTAAACCCACTTAGACTGAATGCCTAAGTATCCAAGATGTATATATATTATAAAAAACAATTAAAATTTAAATTAAGTTTTAACAAAAAAAAAATAAATGTCCTTTAAATAACCCTTTTGATGGAAAGGGAGTTCCCTACTCCGCTGTGCTGGTAGTGGATGGCGGTAGGATGAATCAGCCTCTGTGCTTGATAAAGCCTCTAAGGACTAGTAGACCAACCAGAAAATGAAACCAAAAAAAATTCTTCCCCAAATTAAAGGTATATTTCTTCCCAAATCAAAGTATCTTCTTCCCCAATAATAAAACTTAAATTCCAAATCCCTGAGGTTGGGCCGGCAGGCAGAATTCATTGGATGTTTTATCTTTCATAACAAGGTGGTAACTTCTTAAAACGCACATAAACTAAATTCCTTTAAAACAATAACCAAAAATAAACTCTTCCCCTTTCCCAAGAACTAATAAAATAACTTAAAATTGATTCCTTTTTCCTTCCAAGCTCTGCCTGCCGCACTTATTCAACCTATATTCAGGACGTTCTGTTCCAAAATGCCCAGAATATGGCTACTGGCCAATATTCGTTTTCCCTATAATGACAATGGGAATCGATTTTATTGTAAATCGATATATGATATTGTGTTATAGGTTGTCTAGTTTGCGGCGCAAATAAGTAGCTATTGGAGGTGACGATCATATCGTTACAGCAGACGGAGGTTGATCTGAATTGTCTCTAACTGCTTTTTTTATAGCGGCCTGTTTCCAGAAGGTTCGATTGGTAGTTGGCCGATCGTTTCAAATAGGTATTACCTGGAATTTCAGCCAGCTGATAAAATCTAGAACATAAAAGTGAGTAAACAACATGTTTACAGGTTTTTAATATGACTCATATTTTTTACGTAACACTTCACTCTGTTCATTACACTGTCGATGGTTGGTGGTATGTTTTCCAGAAAAAAAGAATTTTCCTTATTCGAGATTTCACTACCATATGTATTCTCACGTGAATTGGACTGGAAACTGTTTATCTTGTATAATGGGGATTAAAACTAATTCGCTTCTCCTTATGACTTTATAATGATCTTAGTTCTCAAAGAATGTGTTTACATTGAAAATAATATTGAAAGTTGATAAATATAGATAAGCTATAGGTACTAGTGATTTTGCCCGAAATGTCAGATGTTGGCAGTTCAGATTTCTTTCCTAAGAGGCGTAGTTACTTGTCGTTCTAGTCTTTTATATAGATAGATATGAAAAATACATAATTGATGCGACTTACCTGGTAAAACATTTGCCTAGCGGGTGGAATTACGTCTGGTGTCAAGATATAATGACTTTCGTCCATCTTGGTTTGTAAAATGTCTTTCCTATAAGCAGCGCGTTTAGCTCTGACCATTATTTTTGTTCCTTCTACGAACAAAAATAAAAATGCTGTAGCAAATCCGGCCTTAACGGCATCTAGACAGCTCTATATATAATAAACTACGTATAAACCAGCCATAAAGACACAAATAATGTCAAACGACCAAATTCAGTAGTGGAAAACATAAAAAAGTCGACAAAATCGTTTTGGATAATTGTAATTTGAAGTTACCTATAATAGTAGATGAGTTAAGATATGAGTAGGTAATATATTAATTATTTTCATGAACATTTGCCAATTAGACTTAATTCAGAAGACAAATCGACGAAAGTTGAGCGAAAGGAGTCGTTTAAATTATCTTACTCATATATTACTTTCAGAAAGACAGAAGAATGACATTCTTGGTGCATTTGAAAAAAAAAAAATATTGAGAAAAACAACAATAAATAACGAAGACAAAAGTACTCTCTCACTAACACAATGTACGGTGTCACAATTCGATCTAAATAATGGCAAAAACGGATTAATTGCATTTTGAATTACTCCTTCACCCTTCATATTCTTCAAATCTGGCCCTCAGGACTACTGGCTTTTTGGAGACGTCAAAAGAATACTGCAGGATACAAAAATTGGAATAAATAGGTCATTGTGGATATAGAGCCTCATTTTAAGACTAAACACAAATAGTCTTACAACAATGGTGATGAACTGTGAGTGCAACGTTCAAAAATATTATTAAGCATCCTACAAGGAAAATATATTGATGACCTGCGTTGAATTTGGGGTAAAAAATGTTTCCTTATTAAAGTTGGGACTTTAATTGAGTGGAGATTATTCGAGAAAATTTTCATTAAAAACATTTTTTCTTACATGTTTATCCGGCTCAAAGGACCAAATACGCGAAAGATACAAAATTTTACAAACTATTAATCGTAGGTATTTTGATCCTATAAGAAATTCAAACATCAATGCAGCATAAAAGTTGTCAATTTAAAATTTAATTGACGCTAACTTACCGCTTTCTCTGATTCGAAAATCTAAAATTTGGTAAATTCTACTGCTTAAGTCAGCTCTGGGATCGTAACCAAACCTAGTCCATATCATTCTCCAGGGACCAGTGCACCAGAAGTAAGCGTTTGCCGGCAGTAATATCTTAGACATCTCGTTAGTAAACCCACTCTTGTGTTGAATTGCAGCTTTGGTCCACATCGGTCTCTCTTCGAAAATCTACAAAAGGAAAAAATCTGTTCTCAGTGTACAAGTTCTCATCAGAGTAGTAAAAGAATTGAGTGATTTTAATATCTGTGGAAAAATCATAAGTACAAAATAAAACAATAAATTATGGAAACAGTATATCATGAAAGACAAGACTAAAAAGTGCTATCACTACAAAAAATTCAAAAGAAAGAAACTGACATTAAAAAATAAATTAATATTCGGTAATATAAAAATCTAAATCAAATAACATTTGATAGGAAAAGGTCTACAAATCATAATGAAACATCTGAGAAGTGATGAAGCTGAAAAAAGAAGAAAAAGTAAAAATTAACTTATCTTTTGGTATCTATATTTAACTTATAATAACCAACTTTATTAATTAACTTATAATAACCAACACTTTTAATTCTGATCACAGATCTCAGATATGGGTTTAGGTGATCAGTAAATCCGGTTATTAAAATTGGTAAACTCATCATATAAGTCCAAGAAATTTAGAAGCCTAGACACCCAAATAAACGAAATCACATCTTGAATAAACCCATTTCCTTGTGTGACGAAATCCCAAGAATATAATTAAATGAATTTAGCACCAAAACAATAAAAAATATATTGATAAAATGTGTTAGGCTTTCACGGCCATCGTCTAACTTGTTAAACTGTTTGTTTGAGCTGTTAGGCCATTGTCTTCTGAGATTAGTTCTCGACGTTTCTTCAACACTAAATGTTGACATCTTCTGGAGATGTTACTACTTCGATTGTAAGCTGAAACTGATGTCGCGTTGTACTACGGAGGTCATATGTATATTTTCTACTTGCCTCCCCTCCACTGGTTTCGATTAAGATTTGTCGATATGTGCTAATAGAAAATGGCTTTTATGTTCGTTTATCCTTGTGTTTGTATGTCTTTTTGTAGTTCCCACATTAACCATTCCACATGTGCATGGTATTCAGTATACTCCGGCCGTTGCTAACGGGTCTGTTACTGTCTGTTACCCTCGATATAAAGAATGCTTTGTCTATACATGTTGTTTCTTCGTCCTTTCTTCTAGAAACATTTTTTTCGATATACTTTATGTCCTAAGTAACCTTCCTTTCGATTGACTAATACATCTAGGAACGCTAGTTGTTGATCTTTCAAAAACAGCAGAAAAATATGGTAAAAATTAAATGATATTATCCATAACCCACAAAATATCAAAAAACTTACCTTCTTTATCTTTTCACAAATCTCTTCTAAGCACTTCTCCTGGATAATCTTAAATATTGGTTCCTTAGGTTCTTGGGGTATCTCCAGATTTGGATCTGTGAAATTAAGTATATATGACAGTTGCTTATATGACGAATTCTCCCTTTTCCTTGTTTCAAACATTTTAAACATAGTATTCGTATTGGCACTGGGTACATCCAAGTTGAATTTCTCGTCTGCTTTCAAATAGAGGGTGTGATGTGTTATATCATATCGACAAAAATTGTGTGGTAGTAGAAATAGCGACTGGTTGGCGGCTTCTTTGGATCTGCAAAGTTTTAATGTATTATGTAGAATATAACTAATAGGATATCTACAATTAAAAACAGAAAAAAGTATCACAGGAAAAAATTTCAAACTAAATCTGGAGTCTAAAATTTGTAAGTGTGAAATCAAAATGGTTCTGAAAAACATTCAAAATAATAGATACATACTAGAAAAAGATGGCATACGATTTGCTATAGACATATATATTAACATTCATAAATTGGGAAACCTGTTCTTGTATAACATTTATAAAGAGATTAATACAAAAATAAAATAATCAGTTTAGAACTAGTACCACCCACCAGGAAAAATGCATTTTTCAAAAATTAAAAGGCATACTTACGTGAAGTATTCCAAGTCTGGCAATTTCTTTGGCATAATGTCATAGTACACGAATTCAGTAGATTCTGTTTTATCATCTTGTAAAATAGGTAAGTACTGAAAATCTACAGTCCCTAAAAAAGTAAAATAAAAAATTTCCAATAAGAAATCATTAAGTAAATCACTGTAAGAGCCCATTTTAACAGAAATATTTTGTATATTTGAATTATAAATTGTTTAGCACTTAGAGATGTGAAGGAGGGATATCAATATTGTTAGGAGAATAGAAAACACAGCACGAGAGGCGTATGTAGCACTAAAGGAAGCGGCTACAAAAATGGGTTTAATAATAAACATTAATAAAACAAAATACATGAAAATAGGTATGCAACCACAAATACTACGGCCACTTGTTATAGAAAATGACATCATTGAAGTAGTTAACGAATTTGTATACCTGGGAACGGTCGTCAATATTGAAAATGACATTACCGCAGAGATAAACCGCAGAATTTGCATGGCTATTAGATGTTATTTTGGGCTTGATCTCCTTTTTAAATCTCTAGCTATATCAAGAAATACAAAAGTAAAATTCTACAAAACAATAATACACCCAGTCCTAACATATGGTTGTTAGGACTGGGACTAGAAAGGACAGAAAACTATATTACATAAATAAATGAAAACAAGTCAGAACTTTTTAAATTACTCACTGTTAAATTTAAAATTTGTGGCAGTATATCCAATAATGTCATATTCATACTGTCCATCCTTTTCTTTAACTTTTATTAGTAAACTAGGGTTGTCATATCGATCCGATGTACAGGGTTTGTTAAATTTGTTGTCTGGGTGAAATCGCAATTCCAGTTTTTTTCTCTCATCCTCTATAGCCTACAAAAGAAATGATTACATGTTTAACCTGTTGATTGATAAGATATACAATGGTTCAGAAAAAATGCCACTTTGTAGTGGCCAGTACCTTAAGTTACAAGTATACTGAAGAAAATTAGTTAATTTTCTTACCGTTTCTATGCTGTATATTCCTCCTAAAGTCTCAATAGCATTCGATACATTTTTTACAAGTCCAGGGTATTCTATTCTTACAAGTTTTCTAGGTAGTTTATACACAAAACTTTTATCAACAGAACCCAAATTTGATTCTTCCATAACTAGACAAGATACTCCTCTCTAGCTTACACTAAACTTTTCAACTAACTTTTTCCTTGAATTAGAAATTCCCTAATTACTAAAAGAAAATAACTATATACTTAAAATATACTAAACTTAAAAATGTTTTTGTATGTTTTGAATTAACCCCTTCACAGTGATTAATGATTAATTAAACGTCAAAAATCGTTCTCTTTCATTCAATAACAGGTTGTTCGGTGATAACAGTAAGCATTACCTATGGTAAGCATCCACATCTACATAACTACAATCATAAAAATTACATTTTCTACTAAAAAAAAGCACAAAAATTATACCGTAATCAAATATATTTCAATCATTAAATGAAATAAATGCATTTTGTCTTCCTTAAAGTATTATATCAAATTAAAACTTGTTTTCTCATTTTAAATTATTTAAATTGTCAAAAGTGTCAGTGTCAAGCAAGGAAGCAATCGAATTCTTTAAAATAAAGTAAGGTTATATTGACGTTCTTCCTGTAACGTCTGGTTTTGTGTTTTGATCAAACTTTTAACAACTTTGAGGTAATGGGAAGTGATAAAAAGCGTCGTTCTCGAAGCCGAGATAAAGACAAGCGTAAACGCTCCCGATCTAGAAGCAAAGAACGGCCCGATAGGGAGAAAATTCGCGATTCTGATAGGCACAAAAGACATCGTTCCCGTTCAAGAGAAAAAGACTATCCCAGTAGTAGTAAGCATGACAAATTCGACAAGGAAAAATATAAAAGCGATAGAGATAAATACGACGACAAAGACAAGAAACATAAAGATCTTAAAAAGGAGGAAGAGGAAGCTGAACTGGAGAAGGTTAAGGTAGAAACCAAAGCTGAAGTTAAACAAGAACCATCTAAGAAGGAACCTCTTTCGTTAGAGGAACTGCTAACCAAAAAGAAAGCGGAAGAAGCAGCTAAAAGTAAGCCCGTGTTTCTTACCAAAGAACAAAGAGCTGCAGAGGCACTGAAAAGAAGACAGGAAGAAATTGCAAAAGTGAGAAAACAGCAGGACGAGGAAAGAAAAATTGTAGAAGCTGTTCAAGCTGGTCGAGAATTAGAAGTTAAACGGGACGATAGGGATTATAGGAGAAACAGGGATAGGGATAGGGAGGAAGAGAAGCAGAAAGATAAGGACAAAGAAAAGGAACAGGATGCTATTAAAGAGAGGTATTTAGGGCTTATTAAGAAGAAGAGGCGAGTGAGGAGGCTTAATGATAGGAAGTTTGTGTTTGACTGGGATGCTGGAGAAGATACTTCGTTGGATTATAACAATTTGTATAAAGAAAGACATCAGGTATGTATCTAAAGTTTTAGTATAAAATGATGTATGGTAAGTAATTATTTACTTAGATTTTTAATAATTAACATTTAAAATCAACTCTCACTAAAAGAGTCACTTACTGGTCTTACTTTTGTAATAATTTTTCTTATGTTGATTCATTTATCCTATTGTTTTTATCCAGATTTTTATTTTGAATTAGTTTAGTGACTCTTCTTTACAAACATGTTTTGCAAATTAATATTGTATAATTGAACATTGGATATATTACATTCATAGCAGTGCCATTCCTGGGTTTGTATGCTAATTTAGAGAATATATCATTTCTGCTCATTTATACAACTTATAAGTACACTTACTTATGTTAAACAGTATGGGACCTGCATATACAATTTTGGTTACTTAGCATATCCTTATATCACTTATTAGTATCACACTTAATGTTTCTTGTAATTACATGTCTCTTGAATTTTGGAATTCCCCTTTTTCTTCTTTTGTTTTGGTTCCAAGTTTAAGGTTAGTTTTGAAACTCAATCTTTATCCATTATTTTAACCACTTCTTTAAAGCAAGTTTATACAGGCATGGATTTGCTGGCGCCATTAGTTGTTACTGACGAGTATAGTATCAAGCAAGTCCGAAAAGTGCATGCATTGTGCCAGTAAAGTTAAAATCTTATCAACATTTCATTTGCCAGTAACCATTTTATTGGCATTTTAAATTGAATTTGCATGTGTAAACCTTTGTGCTTTGTGATAACTTTAAGTTATAATATTTTTTATAATTTTTATTATAATGTATAGATACTATTTTACAATATTATAATATTTTTAAATTTGTGGTTAAGCAATTTTAACAAATATCACTTAAAATGAGCAGTTCAAGCAGTTCAGAGTTCCCAGGAGGTTGTAGCAATCTGTTAAATCTAGTATAAACGTTCACTGTCATGCAAATAGGACTGGCGTGGCTACTGGTGTCAGCAAATCCATGCATATATAAACTCACCTTTAGTAAATAATTGACATTTTAGTAAATAATCTGTTTGTAGCTTATTTCTTTGATTACACAACTTTTTTTCTAATTGTATTTTCCTTGTTTCAAAATTAGGTCACCTATTTATCAAAATGCTATTGATCTCATAGAATTGGTTCAACATAGGTAAGTATCTAAAATAGATATAGTTCAAATCCTTTGATGTTTATCCTAGAAGATTTGACTGCAAAACCTTTCTAAATACAGTTTCATTTAATTCTTTAGAATGTAGATACAACTGTGATGATACCTATTTTTTTGTATAAGATTCTACACAATACTGTGGATTGTCCTGATCTATTACGTAAAATCCCATTCTTGATGTCTCAATCCTTCTTTATTTTAAACATTTACACCCAAAACTGTAATCAAAATTTTTAATGTTTTTCCTTGGTTGAACTTAATTACTATTTAACTGGGAATAAGCCACAATTAAAGATAAAAATACATTTATTGACGTTTCAATTTCCACTTCGGAAATCGTTCTCAAAATACAAACAGTATCTGACTCATTTATATTGACAATTTAGACATACATTATGCATTTTAAAGTAGACAACTTTAAAACAATATTGCCAATATTGTTGAGTTGCGCTCCTGGGACGACTTTACTTATAAGATAGTTCATTCGATTACATGAAATCAACTTTAACTTGAGAATATCCGTCAGAAAAAATCATAGTATGTAATTCGTCTTTAAAAAGATAAACACATGACATGATGACAGTAAAATTCTCCTGTTAGTGATTCCATAGTAAAATATTGAAAAAAATTGGTTGAACTTATATTTATATTTACATCATGGTTGTTGTATTTAGGTCCAATTCTTTGGTAGAGGCAATCTAGCAGGTATTGATATCAAAGCTCAAAAGAGGGATCAGAGCAAGTTTTATGGAGAATTACTTGAAAAAAGAAGAACAGATGCAGAAAAGGCACAAGAGAAGGTGAGGTTAAAGAAGGTGAGAAGACGAGAGGAGAAACAACTGTGGGATGACAGACATTGGACTGACAAGGAGTTGCCGGAGATGACTGAGAGAGATTGGAGGATATTTAGGGAGGATTACAACATCACTATCAAAGGTAGTTTTTATATATTTTATTAAAATGCTATTAATAATATAATTGTTAATGTAATTTAATATAATTCAATAAATAACTCAGTTGATTTTAAAATTTTAAGAATGTCCTTTCCAAAGAGTCAATTTCTGTATGGAGATTTAATTATACAATTGGTGCCACTTTCCTTAATATAGGTTGAGGTTACTTCTGAAGTGCCACAGGTGACTCACTGTTCCCCTTGTTGTTTTGATTGACTCCTAGAGCAAAACATTTAAGAAAGTTCATATAAAAAAGTGAAGGAATTAAGTTAGTGTCAGCAACCTTTTGTAGAATATAATCTCTTAATATTTTTCAACTGCAAGCATCATGCTTTTTACAATCTAAAGGTAGCAGAAATTGTGATTTCTTATGATCTTCTCTTTAGTATCTGCAGGTGACTTCCAAGTATATAAACGACGCTTGGGTAGTTTGAAGAATGTATTTGTCACACATAGATTCTTAGATTGTTCTCTATGCAGAATTCTACAAAACGGTCTCCCCTGTCATTATGTTGTCCAAGTCCAAAATGCATTATGAAGTCCCCCATTATTATTAAACATTCCCCCTATTATACAATTTAAATTAGAAATAATAAATTAAAAAACAGTACATTTTATTGTAATTGATATTTACATACCTGTACCTACATTAGTTATTCATTTGTAAAGCCAATTTGTAAATAGCCTAAAAAACTTTTTTGATGGTCTTTCAGTAAAGTGCCAATAAACTTGTATATTTCTCCTTCTCTTTCTTTCTTGCTCTCTTTCCCTTGCTTTCTCTCTCTCCCTAAAAAAAGTCGATCACAATGATGGAAAATCACGTGAATTGCTTCTGCACCCAGCATATTCTTCAAATGTATTCTCCAGTGAATAGTTAATTAAGAACTGCCCTTAACCCCAGAAAGGAACTACAGCAATTGATAGTTAGATAGATAATTCAAATATACAACTTCTTTTGCTTTTGTACCACCATATTCGTCATAACTTTTGTTTCTTAAAAATTATTTTTAACCCACAATTTTCTAAACCCCATATTATAGAATTTTTATCTTGTGTATCTTTGAATTATTCCTAATTTCTATTATACCATTGATTTTTTACTAATTGTTTATTGTTTTAGGTGGAAAAATACCGGAACCAATACGAACATGGAAGGAATCCGGCATTCAAAAAGAACTTCTAGAAATCATTGAAAAGATCGGATACAAGGATCCAACTCCTATCCAACGTCAGGCCATTCCAATTGGAATGCAGAACAGAGACATCATCGGTGTAGCAGAAACTGGTTCTGGTAAAACGCTGGCGTTCTTGATTCCTCTTTTATCGTGGATTCAAAGCTTGCCGAAGCTAGAACGCAATGAAGATGCAGACCAAGGTCCTTATGCAATTATTTTGGCTCCTACGAGAGAGTTGGCACAACAAATCGAAGAAGAAACAGTCAAGTTTGGTCAACCGTTAGGAATAAGGACTGTAGTAGTAGTTGGTGGTCTTAGCAGAGAAGAGCAAGGTTTTCGGCTACGTCTTGGGTGTGAAATTGTCATTGCTACACCGGGTCGTCTTATTGATGTCTTAGAAAATCGGTACTTGGTCTTGAACCAGTGTACATACATCGTACTTGATGAAGCCGATAGGATGATAGATTTGGGATTCGAGCCTGATGTACAGAAAATCTTGGAGTACATGCCTGTTACAAATTTAAAGCCTGATTCGGAAGAAGCCGAAGACAGTCGATTGCTATTGGCCAATTACAACAGTAAGAAAAAGTATAGGCAAACTGTCATGTTTACAGCTACGATGCCTCCAGCTGTAGAAAGATTGGCCAGGACTTATCTGCGTCGTCCCGCCGTAGTATATATCGGTTCCATAGGAAAACCGGTAGAGAGAGTCGAACAGATAGTGCACATTGTGGGTGAGAACGACAAAAGGAAGAAACTTATGGAATACTTATCGAGAGGTAAAGTGTCTATATCTTTCAACAAGGATATTTTGCTGATTTATTTTCTTTTATAGGTATTGAACCGCCAGTTATCATCTTCGTTAACCAGAAGAAAGGGGCGGACGTGTTGGCCAAAGGTTTGGAAAAACTTGGATACAACGCTTGTACTTTGCACGGAGGTAAAG